GAGCGTACACAAGGCGGCACGAAGGGCCTTCGTGCCGCCGGCGAGGTCGATGTATCTGGACCGCCCGATGCACCTGTAGACGCCCTTCCGCAGGAGAAGCGTCGCCGAAGCGGCCGAGCCGTACTGTAGGCGAAGCTGGACCTCGCCCTCGCTGGTCCCGCCAGTTGCGGATCTGCTGCGCGGGAGCAGCATCCACTGGCTCGGAAGGAAGAGCGACGGTCTCCGCCAGGGCCAAGGTGCTGGCTGTGCATGTACACCAGCGGCGGCGCCTGCCTTCCCGCGGCGAGCGAGCGCTTGCGAACGCCTCCGTCTTTTATTTCATGGCGCGCCCGGTCTCGGCGACGGACACGTTTGTCATGCAAGCCTAGCTGGAGCGGCCCGAGCCGGTACACTCGCCGCGCGAGAATCCATCCTCGCGATCACGACGCGCGCGCAGAGTCATCACGGCCCGGCGACGACGCGGCCAGATCGAACGCGGCCAAATTGAAGCCCCTCGTTCGAATAATCGAATAAGTGCACGTTGAAGTGGTTCTCGGTGGGGCTGGAACGCCACGCTGGACCAGCACGGAACGGCTGCAGTGGGAGCCATCGCCTCAGCGCGAGTCTGGCGTGGCGCTGGTCGGCCACCCTTGGTCACCAAGCTGGTGGCCCCTTGCTTGCTCTAGCCTCCGCGGCGGCCATGCGCGTCGAGCGGCGGAAATGAAGGTAGCGAGCGGCTACATATGGCCAAGCATGCATGCAGGAGCAGCGGAAGCGAGGCCGCTTCGGCGTCGTTGTCATAACGACGTTATCTTTTAGTTTAACTACATGTACCGTGTGTGCTGCGTCTAGCCGATGCAGACCTCTACGCGAGCAGCACGTCGGTCTCCCGCGGTGACGCGAGCTCCTTCTCCTTCAGATGCGAGCGCGCGACGGCCTTGTCGGCCTCGAGCTGCCAGTTGGGACGCCCGAACGCCACCGCGAAGCCGATGGCCGACGTGACGGCGTAGCCGGCGATCATGCCGTGCCAGACGCCGAGCAGGTTCGGCTGGGCTTGGTGCACGCCAAGTACGTATGCGGTTGGTACGCCTACGAGCCACGCGCCGACGGCGAAGCCCACCATAATGGGCATCGGTCTCGCCTGCGCCTTCAGCACCGCCTAGCAGAGCAATAACGATAAGACACGTCAAGTGATGAGAAGCACAATGACAACAAACAAGGATCGGCGACACGCAGACTCACAAAGGCGTAGTAGAAGAAGGCCAGCACAAAGTACGCGAGCGCTGCGAGCGCGCAGATCTGGCTGAACGTGTCGATGACCTGCTCGCTGTCCGAGAAGAGCCGCCCGAGCTGCCGTCGCGCGCTCACGACGATCACGCCGTTGACGGTCGTGAACAGCGCGATGCAGACTCCGCACACTTGCGCCGCGAGCAGCGCCTCGGACGACTTGCCCGCGCCCAGATGCGTCGCCATGCGCGTGACGGCGGAGCTCACGATGGCGTAGAGCGGGCTCGTGGCGAAGAAGAAGAGCTCCATCATCGCGTTGTGCGTGCCGAGCTGGAGCTCGCCGATCGTGGCCGCGAAGAGCGTCATGGTAATAAGCTGCGCGTTCTCGAACAGCGTGCCGCCCGCCAGCGGCAGCCCCACCGACAGGAGGTTGCGCAGGATGCTGGCGTCCAGGAAGCTGCCGTCGCAGCGCCAGGCACAGCGGCGGTGGAACTTGCGATAGAGGTTCATGTACGCAACGTAGCCGACCAGCCGCACGAGCAGCGCCACGGCCGTGCCCAGCGGGCAGCCGACGAAGCCAAGCTCCGGCAGCCCAAAGCGGCCGTGCGTGAGGCCGACTACCAGAAAGCTGTTGAGCGCGACGGCCAGCAAGTTGAAGGCCGCGGTGGGCTGCACGATGTGCTGCGCCTGGTAGAAGCACGATAGCACCTGGAACATGCTGCGCGGCCACAGCCACAGCAACGACAAGCGGCAGTAGATGCCCGCCAGGGCTGCCACGCGGTCGGACACGCCAGCGGCAAGCAGGATAGTGCCGAGGTTCCACCAGAGCACGGCGAGCGGCACGCAGGCCACCGTGAGCAGCAGACTCGTGAGCAGCGCGTACTCGCCGAGCAGGTGGTAGTTCTTGGCCCCGAAGGCCTGCGAGCACAGCGCGTTCATGCCGGCGTTGAAGCCCTGCATGCTGACGAGGATGGACAGGTCCAGGCACATTTGCGCGTAGGCCACGGCGGCCAGCTCGTCCACGCCCAAGTGGCCCACGACGCTGAGCTCCGTGATGGAGATGGCGAAGAAGCAGTAGGTGGACAGCGCACTGGGCACGGCCAGCTCCAGCAGGCAGCGGAGTTCACGGCGCGCGGAGACCATGGTCGACGAGCAGCAGATAGCGGAGTGAGGGGACGTGAACGGCGGATACGTACGCCGCGATAGCAAAACGACGGCGCGGGCCAGTAACGGCTACAGTCTCAGCTCTTGGACGCTGGACAGACACCAACCCAAGCGGTCTGGTCCTGGAAGGCTCCGTGCGCAGTCGGTGCTTGCGCGTGGACTCTTGGATCGACGTCCGTCTGGCAGGCCGGCCAGATGGAGCACTTCAACTTCAGTGTTCGCAGACCCTATGTACTGGTTTCGCGCCACCTGTGAAAATGGCGCCAAAGCTGCTGGAGCTGCGAGGCTTCAGCGCCGACCGCGGCCGCTTCCTGCTGACCACCGCGCGCACCGACGCCCGCAGTGATGAGGACGACCAGCGCCCGCCGCCTGCAACAAGCACGCGCATACTGGAGCGCGACCTGGTGGACTTGCAGAGCTGGGACCGCTTGTTGCATCGCACCTCCCCCGCTGCTGGCCAGCGGCTACCCACCAAGCGCCTGCGCAAGCTGATGGCGGCCAGTTGGGTGCGAGGTGACCGCGCCGCGGGCTGGCGCGTCGAGCTCCAGAAGAACGTGAGCGTGTGCGAGGACTGGATCAACGCGGCGTTCGCGATGGTGCCGGCGGCGCAGCGACAGGAATTTCTGGACGACGAGCTGTACGCGGCAGCCAAGCACAAGCGGATAGCCGCGCGCGCGGAGAGCAAGCACGCGAGAGACTTGCAGCAATACTTCACGAGCGCCGAGCTGGTGGACCTGGTGGTTCAGCGAGTGCTGGCTCAGCTGCAGTCGCAGCACCAGCAGCAGCTAGCAAATGTCGTGTGGCTTGAACCGTCCTGCGGCGACGGGCGGTTCCTGACGGCGCTGCTTCGAGCAGGAGCCAAGCACGTCGTCGGCTACGAGATCGACGAGAGGCTGCACCCAGCAGCGCAGCAGAATGTTCAACGAGCAGCCGCGACTGCAGCTAGCAAAAAAGTAGCGGAAGAGCTTCGAGCGCAGGTTATTCTGGGTGACTTCCTGGCGTCAAAGAGCTCGGTGCCAGCCAATGAGTTCGTGGTGGCCATTGGCAACCCCCCGTTCGGTGCCAAAGGCGGCGACGGAAGTGACCTCGTGCACCTCTTCTTCCGACACGCAGCCTCAGAGTGGCGAGCTCGGGTCATCGCCTTCATCGTGCCGGAGAGGTGCTCCCGCCGGCCGTTCGTCGAGACCACGCTGCGGCACCTCGGCGGCCAGCTTAACAACAACAGCGATGGTGCTGACGATGGATCTGCGCATTGGGAATTGGTGATGGAGCTGCTGCTGACCGACCACCAGTTCGAGTTCGGCGAGGGCGACCAGCTCAAGCGTGTGCGCCAGCCTAGCGTACTGCAGCTTTTCATCAGCAGCCAGCAGTCCAGAAACTGATGAAATTCGGCCACAGACTCGGTCGTGTCCGAGGCTCGGACTCCGAACACGTGCTCGCCATCACTAACCGATGATACTGCTTTTCGAACATATCATTGCACCAGTACTAAGTTGTCACTCAAATACCAGTAAGCGTCATCCTCGATGCCGAGGACCTCAATTTACTCTACATGCAATTCGTTGAGGACCTTGATGTATTCGAGGTGCTTTTGGTTTCGGTAATACTAAGTATTGGGTATCTCGAGAGTTGAGGAAACCAGTCCACATTTTGAAACAATCTACCGTACTACTGCTTACAGTTATTAATATAAGTGCGTCGTATATATATTACTGGGATAGGAAGCAACGTTAAATGTAGGGATGGGCAAATGCATGCATTGATGGCATTAATGCATTGCACAAAAGCATTAATGGCATCGATGCAGTGCTATTACGGACCGAAATAGATTCTTGTTTGAAGCTAACTCTCGAACTTGTGTTCCTCACTACCGTCGTGCTCCTTCAATCACCGCACGTCGCTGTTCTACCGAAGCAGGCGCCATCTAATAAGGAGAGAAGCATCTCCATCGACAGCGCCATCAATCCACTTCGTCGGCACGCGCCATCAATCGTCGTGCAGAAGGAAGCCAAGATGCCGTCACCTGATCAGCAGCTATTTTTAGATCCCCCCAAATGCATGCATTTTTGGCTGAACCCATGCATTAATCCCATAAATGGCACAAATTGCATTAATAGCACAAATGCCACTTTTGCATTTCCCTAGTTTTAACGAGAGCAGCATTTTTAAATGCTGCTCTCGCAGACCAAATCGGATTATATCCGTGTTACATCAAGTTAAAAGATGACCCCTCTTGATCTTACTAGTGGTGAAACCGCTAAAATACAAATCTATGATTGGCTAAATGAGGCTGTATGCCGGGACGCCTTGACAAAAGGAATTCGATACATGCAAGCTAGAGTTTAGACTTCAGGCCTCTGTATTGGATACGGGCGTACTCATCAGACTTATACGCAAACTTACTTTGTTTTATAACGTTTTGTAGAAATAGGTCTGGGTTTTAGTACGGATTTGCATAGATTTGATTTGACCAAACTTTCATAGTAGCTAGGTAATACATACACATGTAACTGCAACGTGAAGTTTTTGAAACCGGGCATAACCTATTGGTCAGACGTTAGAATATTAATACTAATATTCTAACCTATTGGTCAGACGTTAGAATATTAGTATTAATATTCTAACGTCTGACCAATAGATTATGCCTGGTTTCAAAAACTTTCGATTGATAAAAAGATCGATAATGTATTGGAAATGCACATATCCTACTTAATATCCTACTTAGAGTTATACCTGTTTAGTGCAGTGCACGAAAGTCCCCCCAAATGCACTAAAGTACTTTAGTGCACGCGCTAATGTCCAGCATCAGTTGTGTGCAGGTGCGCCAAAAGTGCACTAAAGTACTTTAGTGCATTTGTGGGGACTTTCGTGTACTGCACTTAACAGGTCTACTTAGAATATTATGTAGGATATGAACATTTCCAATATATTATCAGTCGCTATATGTGGTCAAGGGCAATATGTTTCTTCTTTTGCGACCACTATCAACTGCTTGTTTTTGCACCCAATGGAAAGGACTTCGTAAATCTTTTTTGTATCTCAAACTTTTTAAAACCCCTTAAAAGGGGTTTTATTCAGCAAAAAATAACTTCATTTTTCAAATAAACTTAATTGAGGAGCGGCCACATCGCCCAGCCTCTAGCAACCCAAATGGAAAGACACTAAATAGTTAACGTTAAAGTGATAGGCACTAGAGATGAAAGACAACTACATTGGTATACGCTAACAATAGAACTTAGACATACCCGAATGTACGCCTGTTGTGCCGCTTTTAGATGCACCACTCGCAACGTGAGGATAGCATTGACCTGCCGCTCTCAAAGGGCATGATGATACTCGACGAAAACCTGCTGATAGTAGATTTCTGTACGCTAGGCAACGCCCACTGAGGTCAGTGTCTCTCCATGTCGTGTCTCACGTCGAAGTCGTTGCAGAAGTTCTGCATGTGCGCATTTGGGTCACCCGCGTCGTCTGGCATCTGCTGAAGCAGGGCAACGAACTCCATGATCGATGTCGCCTGCTGGCCCCTGGTGGGGGTCTCGATTGTCCGTCAACTAGAAGCCCCAGGTCTCCAAGCGCTCTACCACGGAGGATCTGTAGATCAGCACGTCAACTCCGGGAGCGCGGACGTCTTGCGACGTTATCTGGGCTCCATGTGCTGACTAGGCCCTCAGGTTCTTGTGCAGCTTCACCTAGAGCTTCTTGGTGTTCTTGATCAGTTTGCACCTGCGGAGGAGCACTTTGCGCATCAACACCAAGTCTGGCGCTTGCTAGGAGCTCTTGAAACCCTCCTCGAGATCGCACTCCAGCCGTGGCCGCCTGTAGCTGCTTACGGTGCTTGGCGAAGGCGCTGCGTGCTTGTCCTCTGGAAATGCCCATCGTGTCTACAATCTCTGGGAGCGATGGAGGCTTGCCGTTCCGAAGAAGGGTGTTGCGGCGACCGTACACCTCCTCTCTTGTGGTTGCGTCAGTCAACCGCTGTAAGAGGCTGGTGTGCCAGCCATGGCAAATTGAGGAATGACCCCACCACTGATCCTCAAGCAACCCAGAGAGTGGATACATGATGAAAAGATGAAGTTGAAGTGAAAGTCAACTTCACTGATTAAGGTAGCAAACAGAGATAACACGTACCCAAACATACTATTGGTGTGCGGTCCCTCGGTGCGCCGGTCGCAACGCGAGAAAGACCTTCACCTGTTGCTCACGAGCGACACGGCGGCGTTCGATGAGGGCCCGCCAATACTACCCGACGACGTCGAAGAACGGCTCCGGGTCGTAACCCTAGCTTTTGAACAGCAAGAACTCGGTCTTCTCCGAGTAGACCGTGCGGTCTCCTTGGAAAGCCGTCTGCGCCGCCGCCAGCCAGAGGGTTGGACAGATTCGTTGTGTTCGTTTTGGTGACGGAGTGGCACGAAGTCCTCCTAATCTGCTTCCAGCTAGACGTAGATGTGGGCTAGCAGGTTACCGCGATGACCCATACTTCCGTCTCGCGCGTCGACGGGGCAGGTGCTTCTTGTTCGACGGTGTGGAGGGGCATGATGATCGTGCGATCGTGGCCCGTGGTGTCGTAGCGGTACCGAAAGTCTTGCCTCCTCGAACGCGGCTCGCAGCCCGTGCGCTAGCTGAATGAGCTTCGCGAGGGACCGCGGCTGACCGCCGAGGTAGCAGCTACCTGGATGTCGACGTCATTCACGGGGAAGCCCGAGCATTTAGCTCGGACTTGAACCCGGTCAGCCGCATGCCCCAGAGTCTCCACGAAATCTCAAGTGCGAACGGACACAAAAACTCGTCATTCGGGTCATGCTCGACAGGCGATGCGCCTTTAACAAGCGGCTAAGTCTCAAATCAATCTGTTTAAAGGAGGCGTTATAAGTAGGTTATGTGAGCGCCCCGCGCATAATTCAACTTTTCCAGAATCAATGCGATCTCTCTTCGATTTGATTTGCCGTTCCACGAGCTTTAGTAGACTTTAATTAATTTTTCATGGCTTAAACCAGCAAATCGACTGTTAAAACATTTTTTTGGTAGGAATGAATTGGGTATACGATATAGTACCTTGTGTATTCTTAATACTGTAGATGCAATACCCGTGATAAAGTACGAGGGTGAAAACAACTTTGGTCATTTTAATGCTACAATTTTCATATTGAATAAATTAATAATATAGATTATACATATATTTACAAAAAATACAATTCTTAGTGTCACATTAACAGAAGTCCCAGTACTTCAATACATGTACACAGTAATGCTTAACGAAATAACTGCAGCTCAACATGTTTGTCGAATATATTAAATTCGATTTTTGAATCGGATTTAGAATTAGAGTTTTTGGTGAATTATAATACGAGATTGAATAAATCTTCCGACACATAACGATTAAAAAACCAAATATTGGGGGCTAACGTTAGGATAAGTTACACCTACTCAAACTACAAAGTACAGAAACATAGATGTAAGCATGCATTTTTGTGTTGTTTTGCAAACTGAACCTCCTTCCAAAGTGACTCTGTTTTAGTGCAAAAACGGCTGCAGTTTCAGAGCTCAAAGTGTGCTTTTCTTGCTTCAACATCAAAACAATTATCTGAATAGTTACGACGGGTACAGTTCACCCTCTCCCCGAGATGCTAGAAATACTGGTATTGTTTGTTTTAGACAAAATTTCCAAACCGGCCGCTTGCAGCACAGTCCCACCAGCGACTTGAATTGACTGAAAACGAATCCGAAGCATGAGTTAGAAGGCATCCTAGCGATTTTGTTAAACGGCCTGAATTGAATTTGGAATGGAGCCGACCGGATTTGTTTTTTGTGGAATCTAGGGGATCTGAGTATGCTATTGCACATTAATTTAGGGACGTTCCTTTTGCCCCAGGGGCACAATTACCGATTTTACAGTACCTGTCGTCAGCTGGCGCAGACAAAATGCCGACAACGGGTTACAGAGAAGGAGCATCTTCCAGCACTTCCAGCGTCAGAATCGAAACGCGAGCAGGGGCTCAATGAGTAGCCGCCAAGGCGAGTGGCAGCGCGTGCAGGACGCGCAGGGGCGCTACTTCTACGTGAACCACGCGACCCGGGAGGTACGTGCGCCGCCGTCCGGCGCTTCTTCCCGTGTCGTTCTCGTCTACGGGCGCGATCTGCAGCCTCCGGGCCACGCGCGCGACCGATTTGACCCCGACTGACCTTCTCTCTTTGTGTATCCATCTCCGTAGACGTCATGGCACCTGCCGACGGCAGACCCGCTGCCGCCCGGCTGGGAGGAGCTCATTGACGGCCAGGGCCGCGTCTACTTCGTGGACCACAACACGCGCACCACGACGTGGATGGACCCGCGCGTGGCCGCCGCGCGCCGCCGCACCAGGGGCCAGTCGGTTATGTCGGCGGCGCGGCCGGCGTCCACGGCCGTGGGAGATAGGGGCCGCTCCCCGACGTACGACGACCCGAAGCGCGCATCTCGAGGCAGCGTCGACTCGCGCTCCGATGCGCAGAGCAACGGACACTCGCGCGTGAGCGGCAAGAGCAGTGTCGGCAACCTGTCGGCTGGTTCCTTGTCGTCGTCAGGCGCGCCGGCCACGGGCGCTGACGCGACCGACGAGACCATCAGGATGAATTCGTCGGCGCTGCTGGAGCGGTACCGCGACGAGACCAATCTGGACGACACGGTGGTGATGCAGACCACCGCGTCCACGGCGCTGCCGGCCGACGCGGAGGAGTGGTTCACGGCCCACTCTGAGGACACGACCAAGCGGATGAATGATGCCAGGCTCGACGAGTTTGTAGGGAAACATGACCACGATCGTGATCATGATCATGATCACGATGACGGTCACGACAACGACACGGAGCTGGAGCAGGTAGCTGAGCTGTCGGACACGAGGGACTCGAAGGAGGAGGCGCCACCAGCCGCGGCCACGTCAAAGGAGGAAACTGCTGCTCCGTCCGTTGTGGACGCGGAGCCGGAGCTAGGGAGGAGCGGCCTCCAAAGCAAGCTGGGCTTGTCGGCCATCTCGGATGCGCGCAAGAGCAGCTTCAACACGGGAGACGTCAAGATGGTGCTGCGCCGCTACTTCGCCCCGATCTTCGTACGCGACGATGACTCGCCGGCGTGCCGACAGTGCGGCATGCGCTTCGGCACGTTCCGTCGGCGCCACCACTGCCGGCTGTGCGGCAACGTGTACTGCGCCGACTGCACGTCCAACAAGGTGAAGCTCCCGATTGAGGCGCCTTCGTACGACAAGGAGCAGCCTGTTTGCACGAGGTGCTTCCGGAATGTGCAGGCGGGCGATTTCTTCAGCATCGTGGGATTGCGCCGCAAACTTGACGACCCAACGGCTACGGTTGATGACAAGGTGGAGCAGACCATGCAACTCGCAATGACGCTGTCAGCTGGACGCCCGGAGACTGACGGAAACATGGGTCTACACCGCATTGCGCAGCTTAACGACGTCGAGGCCGCCGGAGGCGTGGCTTCGTTCTGTCAGCTGCTGAACACGGATCTGGAGCCACTGCAACAAGCCGCCCTTGAGATGCTGGCGAATCTCATTGAGCTCGAGAACAGTGCGGGCAACGAATTGCCAGCGGGCGAGGCCTTCGCGCAGTCGGGCGCGTGCGCACAACTGGTGAAGGTCATGGGGAACCGTGTGATGGAGCAGCAGCTAGGTCGCAGCGTTCGCCCGGAGGTGGAGCGCATGGCCCTTCGACTTTTCTACCATATTTGCCAGTCAACGACGTGTCAGACCGCGCTGCGCAAGGCAGGGGGAGGTACGCGCTTGCTGGAGTTTTTGTCGGTGGACTCGCCGTCCTCGCTGGAGATGCGCGTGGAGGCGGCACGCTGCCTGAAGCGGTTTGTGCAGAAGAACGTGGAGAACATCACTGAGATGACGCAGAATAAGGGCGTGGCATTGCTGTGCACGCTGCTGGGAGACTTCATCGAGCTGCGCTCCGGTAGCGCCCTTGAAGGTAGCGGCACTGAGTTCCCTCGTGATGAGTCGCATGAAGTGGCCATCGAGGCCATCCTGAGCACGATCTGTGAGTGTATTCACTTCGCGGACAATGGGGCTTCTCAAGCGCAGCGCGGCGTGCAGCAGATTCCTGCCGATAGTATTCACTCGTTCGTAACGGTGCTGCAAAATGGTGACCGCGTGAACCGCATGCTTGCGTCGCAGGTATTGATTCAGGTGTCGAAGGAGCCGTCTTTGATCACGATTCTGGCCAAGGAGAAGGAGTTCATTAAGGAGATCATGTGGATGCTGGACAGCGACGAAGACTACACTGTGGCCTCGGAGATTTTGTGCGGGCTGTGCTCAACCATGCCCAAGCAGTCACTGAGCGACACTGTTCCAGGAGAGAACACTGATGACGCGCATGAAGAGGTGCTGAAGGTCATTTACGACCTGGAGGTGTTCGATCTGGTGCTGAAGAAGCTCAACGCGTGCGTTGTTGGCGAGAAGCAACTCGTGGGCGAGATCACGTTTCAGAGGAACCTGCTTGGAATCACCATGAGCTTCAGCGCCGAGTCCGCAGCGTATGTTGACTACATTTGCTCCCGCAACTGTGTCCCCACGCTATCGGCTTTCCTGCTTTCCCGGAAGGAGCGTCTGATCCCGTTGTGCGCGCAGACTCTGATGAACCTCTGCGAGTTCAACTCGAGCATCTTTGATGAGCTGTACGATCGAAACGTGTCGGACTTTTTCCACCGACTGCTGCAGACGCCGCCCGACGAGAACCGGTTGTCGGCGCTCCGCTACTTCCGGGCTCTTGTGGACAACAAGCGCCCGTTCTCGGTCGGTATTCTGGACACTCTCTTCTTGATGGCGTCTGGACGAGATGAGGTGCTGAAGTCTGGGAGCTTGGATGTGCTCGCCCGCTTGAGTGGTGTCAAGTCCATTGCCTCTGTGCTGGAGCCATTGGAAGAACCTCCGACCCCGGAGATCGGAGAGATGGTGCAGAAACTTCAGGAGCGCGTGGTTGGAGTGGCCTACTTCCCTGTGCTGATGACGATCGCGTGCTCATCAGGCGACAGCGATCTGCGCAGCAATGCCATCAAGTGCCTTAGCTGTGCCGTCGGTGGCGGCGATGAGTTCGTTGCACGAATGCTGGACCAGGAAATGCTGCGTGCGTTCTGGACGGGCTTGCGCCGATGGATGGACGTGCCTGCTGACGACCTCACGGCCGTGGAAATGCAGCTGAACAAGGCGTTGCTGCAGCTGCTGTACCGTGTGCTGAAGATGGCGTCGTCGCGCATCGCCTCCATGGGCGAGGACCAAGTGATGAACCTTGTGACTGTCGTGACTGAGTTTATCGTATCGCAGCCCAGCCGACTGGTGATGGGGATTCGCATCATCCGTCTCTTGATCGCGCACTCTGCTTGGAAGGATTCCTTTGTGGCGCTGTATGCTGTGGAGTCGACCTCGACTGGATTGAAGTTCCTGCAGGCGTTGATGAACGGCATCGAACAATCAAGCTTGGCGGCGAAAGAGGACAGTGAGAACACCGTGTTCGATGATTCAGTTGCTGTCCTGAAGGAGCTGATTAAGGACCCCCAAGAATTCGAGCAAGACGACGAGCAGGGTGGCGTCGCGATGTCAAACGATGCGGTTGTGAATCTGATTATTAGCGCTGGAGTCCACATTTCACTGCTAGAGCTGCTGCGTGGCAATGCTGTGCGCGAGAGTCTCAGAAAGACCGAGGCATCTCTATCGGAGGCTGAGGAGAAAACCGAGGAAAGCCATGAGTACGTCGTGACCCGCGCGCTGGAGCTTCTGGACCTATTGGCACGCTCGCGTCGTATCCGGCTGCTGATTCTGGAGGCCGGTGACGCGTTGGACGCACTGGTGAACGCGTATGAAGCGACCACCGACGACTACGAAGACAGTTCGGCCGCACGACAACTTGTCGCTCAAGACATTGGACGCATTCTCATCCACTTGTCCAGTGATCCGCTGGAGTTCCGCAAGACGTTGTACGATCACCGCACAGTTTTACCTGGTGCGATTCTGAGCAACATTCTTTCCCCCGTCCCAGAAGTCGCTGAGATGGCGGAGGAGATCGTGCTCAACCTTGTCGAGTCAGACTTTGCTACTTGCCCGCTGTGGCTCGATCTGATTGAGACCGCTAACGTGCGACTTGTGTTCCGTGTGGTGGTGGGGGCGAAGCGGCCGTCAGTGAAGGTTACGGCTGCCCGCAAGTTGATTGACATTGTGTACTCGCACCCGGACATTCTTGATGACGAGGAAGATGGACTGTCGGCGGAGGAGAAGAGTACGTTGGTATCGATGTTGATCGGTTTCTTTGTGGACTTCGACCCGCGCACGTCCGTGGTGGGCGTCCTCGCTCTGACGTTGCTGCTGAAGAACGGCCAAGTTTTCGACACGGAGCAAATGGAGAAGATCGCAGTCGACGGCGCTGTGTCTCTAGTCTACTGGATGCAAAAGGGCACGGAACGGCACCAAGAAAACGCTGTTAAGATCCTGCACGACGGAGTAAAGGACCCAGCCATCCTGAAGAAGTTTTACGAGCAGCTTCAGGCCCCTTCGGTCCAGCGCGAGACCGTGTTCTTGCTCGAGCTGGGCCAGCAGCTCCTTGATGTAGACATCAAGTCGAACCCGGAGGGGCTCTTCAAGCGTTGCAAGCTCTTGCAAGGTCTGCTTGAGGTGACGGATATCGACGCGTTGCCCTCCGATTGCATGGAGATCATCGAGGAGCTGGCAGCGTATCTGCTGGAGCTGTCAGAGGAAAAGGGCAACGAGACGGAACACGCGGACGAGGAAGACGAAGACAGGAAGCTCCGGGAAGAGTTTTTGCTTGTCATTATCCGCTTCATTGCCGTTTTGATCCCCTCGGGTACGTTCCACTCCACGCTCGTGCACCAAGACGCCATCGAGAAGCTGGCATATGTGCTCAACGAGCAGAAGAAGGCAGCGCACCCGTCAGTCGAGGTCGTTGACGAATCGAGCCGTCTGCTGAGGCATCTCTGCGTGCACGAGGTGCCTCGACTCGTGGCCTGCAACGGCGTGGAGATCGTGCTGGAAACCGTGATGAACCGTGACGGTGACGACCAGGACCCAGAGCGTGTGGCCGAGATGCTGGCGACCTTCAACTCGGTCATGGAGTGCGGCCCCACCGGCAAAACCGCCCTGATGGCGACGGAGGGTTTCCTTTCAAGTCTGGCCAGAGGGTTCAAGACTGTGTGTGGCGCCCTGAATGAGGGCCAGGAGGCATTGGCGGCGAAGCTGCTGGACACTGACTCGAACGGGCAGAACACGAATCTGGAGGTTGCGTGTGGTCTCTGCCTCTTGGTCTTCCTGCTCGCCCGTGGGGGCTCCTACCGTGAGCGGGTGTTCCAGGATACTGCGCTCGTGCAGCACATCGTGGCGATGCTGGCTTGGTTCCCGTCGATCTTCTCAAGTGACGACCTCGTTACGCCCGAGCTGAAGGGCAAGTTCTCCTTGATCTTCGGGTCTGGACTGCCCTTCCTGGAGGCTGCACTTGTGTCTGCTGAAGGGTCCTCCATGCAATCCGCGGACATTGACATTTTGTTCACAAGCGCCATGGTGGTGTACACGAAGACGCTGGCGACCTTCGTGGACGGCCACGGATCGTACGACCTCTTCCTCGCTGCCTGTGAAGGACTGAAGAGTTTCTTCGACACGGATAGCGCGGTGGCGGTACTGGGTGATGCTGGACGGAAGGAGTTTGAGACGCTGCTGAGAGAGCAGGTGTTCCGCTCGCTGAAGACGACCATGTACTCGATGGAGTGTGTGGTGGCTCTGCTGGAGATCGCTGTCGCTGTGGTTCCTGCCCGGGCCGGGCAACACGAAGGCGAACCTGTGGAGGAGCCTGCTCGCAGCTCGTGGCTGGTGGCTGGAGTGCTGCACGCGCTCTTCAACTGGGAGCTGTTCGGTGACGACCTGGACGTGTCGGTACTGTTCACGTTGCTGCGGCGGTTCTGCTCGTCCTCGAAGATCCGCAACTCGCTGTACGAACATGTCGACTACGAGAAGCTGGTGGACATTTTGGTGGAGTTAGCGCAAGCTGCCAAGTGGCGGCGGTGGCGCAAGTACGCGCTGAGCATGCTGATGCTGCTCGGCGAGGACAGCGCCATGGACCACGCGCACCACGATGCAGGACCCGTGCCGATCCTCCAGGCGTCGGCCACCAGCTCGTTCCGAAGCAGCGAGATGCCCGCGTGCGCAACCCGCTGCTTCCACTGCCGTCAAGTGGTGCACGCGCCCGTGCAGGCCAATCTGTGTGTGATGCCGTGCCCGTACTGCCAGAAGGCGATCGCTGTTGCGTCTGATAACTCCTCGGCGGCGATCGACACGCTCCCGTCCGTCGTAGAGGACAACAGCTTCAGTAATGGAGCTGCGTCCAAGGGCTCCACTTCGTCCGCTGGGGGCCAGGACTTCGTCTGCGTCAACTGCAGCAAGACGATCGAGCTGCCGGACAGCCTCAGTCCGTCCGAGATCGTGTGCCCCCACTGTCTGCAGCTGGCGGCCGTGAAGACGACGAGTCAGTCGGTGATGCCAGCGTTCAGCAGCGACAAGAAGAGGTCGTCGTCGTCCTCGGTGCGCTCGGTCGAGTCGGGGGCCAGTCTGCCCAAGGACCCGTCCCTGTCGGGCATCGACGTGCGGGACACCAAGGTCGTGAGCTGCGGCCACTGCGCCAAGCACCTGATCGTCAAGAACGGCGCGTCGGCCGTCAAGTGCCCGTCGTGCCACGGAGTTTCCAAGCTGTCCACGACGACGAGTGAGTTGTGGCGAACCTGTGTTGTGGTGGTGAGTGCGTCGTCTTCTAACTGTATCTGTGGTTTTGTGTGTGCGTGTGTGTGTTGTGCAGCCCAAGAGATGATGCGTTGCAAGAACTGCAACACGCTGCTGAGCCTGCCCGCGGGCGCCAGGGCGTACAAGTGTATGAAGTGCCTGCAGACCACGCGCCTATCGTAGCGGATGGATGGTTGGATGGGCTCAAGAGAATTCGTCTAGGTGAGGAAATACCCATGAGTGTGTGCTGAAGCCTCTGCTGTAGGTTGTCAAGTGTTGTTCAGTGTTGACGGGAACCAGGCATTCCGACGATAGACAAATGCAGAGCTGGGATTAAGGAGTACGAAGTCTGGTCTCGCGCGTACACCGTTGTGTTGTTGGTTGTCTTACGGTGTGTCAGCAGAGAGATTAGCTGGTCGAGTCCATGAGGTCCAGCAGGTCGTCGCCCGCTTTGCTCTCGCGCTTGGCGCCGTCGTCGTCCAGCTTGAAGTCGCGCAGAATGGCGTCCGTGGAGCTCTTGCGGTCGCTGGCGGCGTCGATCCAGATGGTGGGGATCTCTTTGTCGTCCTCGTCGTCGCCGCCGCCGGGGCCCTCCTTGGTCGGGTCGTCCGGGAACAGGTTGATGCGCAGCGCCTTGTTGTCCCCCTCGACGTCTTTCGCGGACGCGGATACGCCCACGAGGTCTGCGAGCAGGTTGAGGCCGTCCGCGGCCGTGGCTTTGAATGTTTTCTGGTGCTTGCGTGTGTCCAGGCCCTTGGCGCTCGCGCCGGCGCCGCGTAACTTGCTGTCGGCGAAGAGCTGGCGTGTGGAGCGCGAGAAGCCGCCGCTGCCGTCTTTCGAGTCGGCCTCGTACATGTTGAAGCCCAGGTGCGCGTTGAGCTGGCCGCGGTCGAGCACGGAGCCCTCGGGCGCCTCGACGGACCCGTCGGCGCTGGCGATGGCGAATGAGTCCTCCTCCTCCACGCGGCCGGACGCGTCGAAGTACTGCGTCATGCCAGGAACCTTGCCGCCCGTGGCCGTGAAGCCCTCGTAGTGGATGGCCAGCGTGCCGTCCATGCCCTGGATGCCGTTCTGCAGGAAGAGCGACACCTTAATGCGCGTGTCCTGGAAGAAGCGGCACAGGTACTGCTTGAGCATGTAGAAGTCGGCGGGGCTCATGCGGCCGAAGTTCTCGGACGTGAGCTGGATGGTCTCGTCCACGAGGCGCTTGACGTCGGCCGACTCGACGAGGTTCTTGGTGTTGGACAGGTGGTTCATGGTCACCTGCAGCAGCTCGTCGGCGGACGAGCAGGACAGCACCTGGTACTTGAAGCCCATGCGCATGAGGTCGTAGAGCTGCGGCAGCATCAAGAGACAAGAATCGGTCAGGGCGAGCGACTACAGACACACCCGGAGCAAGGCAGAGGGCACCTTGTCCATGCTGTTGGTGTTGAGCCGCATGATGGATGAGTGCGCGAGGCGGTCGAAGATCTGGCGCGTGGACACGTTCGAGTACATGCGGTGCGGCTTGAAGAGCTCGGCCATGAACGTCTCGTTGTACATGGTCTTGACGATGTCCTCGAGCACTGCGGGCACATAAGGAATTGGTTAGCGGCCACTACTCGCCCACCCCACTGAGGTCTCTCACCTTTGGAGCTCTTGTCGCGCGGGATGTTCTGGGCCTTCAGCCGCTGGTCCAGCACGTAGATCATCTCGGCCCCCATGTTCACGATGAGCATGGGCATCGTCATCAAGGAGCCCGTCATGGTGCTGCAGGCAGCTCTATTGGTCTTAGCTGCGTTACTGTGGAGACTTCCGCTGGAGAGCCGCACCCCCTCGTGCAGATCTACGCCACCGACTGGCCACGCCCCAGTCGGGAACAGCAGACTGCAACTTCAACTACGAGTACAAGTTCCTAGTTCAGGCCGCTGAGTGCAGTGTCAACACTGCGCGTGGCAGCAGGCGCTCAAGCACCAGCTCCAGTTCTCCCAGCGCCGGGCCATGCGGGCCAGATACGTCACCGATACCGGCCGCCGCGGTCGACACCAAAAGATCAAGGGCTTCAAGCAGAGGCTGCGCCGGCGACTCGGAGCTTGACGGGTCCAGTTGAAGTGGCAGCTTGGATCGACTGGCACTGCCACTGCTGGATGGCTGCATTGTGCACGTTGACGCTCGCTTCAATGCTGCCACAGCGCAACGATGCACCGCCGGACTGCTGTGGGGCGCAGGTAGCAGTCGAGCCATGGCCAGCCCCATCATGTGCGCGTTGGTGTCTGTGGCCGACACGCGTGACAAGTACGTTGTCCGCTTCCACACGCTCGCGTGGAAGGCCGAACTGCACGCCACCGGCAGCAGCCGCGTCCACGTGGCCCGCCGATCCGGGTCTTGCTGCAGCTCGCGGAGAACGCGAGAGGCCACGCGAGTCTCCCACGCGTCTTTCGAGGCGCTCGTGCTGTGGCCATGCAGGAGCTGAAGGAGGAAGACCGCCGTCCCGATCTGAACGAGCTGCGTCGCGATGTCGTCCAGCGCTCGGGTTTGGGCGGAGGCGAGCACTACGTCGTTCGTAGCACCGCCACTCAGAGCCATGTCCATGAAGGCCAACACGGCGTGCTCGGCTTCGATTGAGGATCGAAGCTTCAGTATCTGCGCCACCAGCAGGTTCGACACGGTGGCACAGATCGACTCCACACCCGAAGACCCGACCAACGCAACGAGGTAACGCAGAGCTTCGCTGTCCGTGTAGTCGCGTGAATCAATCTCCCCGGATGCCGCGGGGGCCAGCACGAAGCAGCACTTGCGCACAGAAGCCAACACTGCGGGTAACGCTGGGGATGAACATGTCGAAGGATGACACCTTCTCGTTACCAGTGAGACGAGCATCCAGGCGATTCGATCGACCAGCGACCATGCCTGCAGCTCCGTCTGGGCGACGCGGGGCGTGTCTACCGTCCACTCTAGCAGCCTCTTGTCCTGAGGCAACACCGACACCACCGAGTCACACTCGGTCTCCAGCGCCTTGGCAAGCGCCACTTGAACAGCTTCACCCAACGCAAAGTTGTCGCCTGCTTCGAGCTCATAGCCGCCAAGTAGCCTCTGAACGACACGAAGGAAGCACTGAACCTGCTCACACGCGTCTTTCAATGAGCACCGCAGTGCAGCCGCGTCGATAGACCCCGTCGGGAACGCCACAAAGTCTCTCAAGTAGCGGATGAAGCAAGTGTGCACTTGATTGACGATTGCGGTCGTCATGATTCGGCCTTGCGGATGTTGCGCGATGTGGACGAGGATGGCACGGACCAGCTTGAGATATTTCTCTTCGCAGCCGATGGCCGCAGGTTTGGGACCGACTGACGCGTTGTTGCTGTTGTTCGTGATGACGCTCTCGCTGTTTCGAGTCAAAATGGAAGACGTCACGGTTGTCGGTGAGGCTAGACGCAACTCTGCGTTGCTTGGACGTTGCACGTGGCTAGACTGCACGCGCGAGAAGCTGAACAGCTTCCTGGTGCTCGCTGTGATCTTCGTCTCCACTTGTTCGGCCTTTTCATCGGGAGCTGGAAATATCTCGTCGCGCTGGAGACTGATGTCCCGCTTGACCACGGCCTCGAGCCCTAGTCCGACTTGCTGCACAAGACTCGCCCGCATCCGGTCGATGCGCTGCATCATTCGTTCCAAGTGTTGCGTGGCTTCTTCCGTGTCGACTAGTTCATCAAGGATGTAGGTCCCAGCAGCGAGACTCAACAGGATTTCCATGAGCGCAACGGAAGAGCACGGCGAAGTGGCTACTGTCTGCTCGAAGCACTGCTCGAATACGACGTCCCCGAACCACCAGCACTTGGAGAAGCTCGCTGCGTGCTCCACTAGCTGGGAACTAACACAAATGTACTGCGTGTGCCTCACAGCGCACTCCATCCGAGCTCGTAGAACGTCCAGCAGCGGTAATTGCGTGCCCGTAACCAAGTGGGCGTTGGCTTGACGCCACTCGCGCACCCACGTGACTCTGGTTGTCGACGAAGAAGAGCTCACTCGGTACCGCTCCCTGTCCAAGAATCCTTCAAGCAGCGGCTGAATCACCGAACTGGACGGTGTCGACTCGATAGCCGTGAACAGTTCTCGGATCGTGAACGCGATCCCTTCGGCGTCTCCATCCACCAGGAACGTTTGGTAATACTCGGCCAGGAAGAGCGCGTGCTCCTCCATGAGCCCACGAAGTCGATGAGAGAGCGTCAACAACTCGGCCAGCTCGCGCTCAGCTCCGCTGAAGCTCGGAAGCACACGGTGCAGGTGCTCGGCCTTGATGTGAGCTGGTAGGAGTGGTGCCTTGGTGCCTGGATGGTGGCACATGGCCCACTCGATCTCGTCTCGGGCGACGGCTGGTGCTGCCAGCAGCAGAGGAAACGATGGAGCAACTAGCCCGGGGTTGTGCTGCATGAGCTGCACACAGCTCTGGAGGAGCCATGCCGCCACCTCTCGGCGTTGACGATGCACTACGCCACAGTTCCTCAGCGCGTGCTTGCCGAGCGCGCTCATGATCTTCTTCAGCGATACAGAGGACCGACTGCCTCCAAACGAAGGCATGGAACTTGAAGCTGTTCCTGTACTGAGCGCCGAAGCGGAGAGGGAAGAGGTTATCTGCTGGTAGAGCAGGTTGTGGAGGTTGACGACATGGTTGCGATGTAGCGTGAGCACCAGCCGATCGCGCGCGATGATCTCCATGAAGTCCCACAACTGCAAGAACGACGAGGCGTTAGTAGGTGAAGTTGGTGAAGACGGTGACGTTGGAGACGACGGCATGGATCGAGGCGACAACGGGGATCCCCCCTCGGCGTTCTGCAGTTGGTGGGGGACGCAGAGCACGACGCAGATGACCCAGTCAGCCACGTCCGCAGCGTTGAGCAGGTCCGGCAGACTCGAGTGCGACGCGTAGGCGCCACTAACCAGCGCTTCAAGGTCGAAGACCCCCTGGTGGCGCAGCTTGGCCAGGTCGTGACACCCTTCGTATCGCTCGAAGCACGAGAGTGCAAGCGCAGCGAGAGACGCGCCTTTATCCGCGACTTGCGCTTGGAAGTCGTGCTGGATCCTGAGCAGCGGCGCCGTACCGAAGTGAAGCACGAACTCACGCACGCGGTGGTCCGTGTGCTCAAGCGGGGAATACTGAGCAGCGGCAGTAGCAGCGGCAGCGTCTCCGGCCGCCTGAGCGTAGTGGAGGAAACTGTACAGAGCCAACAGCCCTGGAATCACACTGAACGACGTCCACAGCAGCGTCACCTTGACGTACTTGGCGACGGTGGCGAGCACCAGCCGCGTGAGCTGCGGGTGGCTGTCGAACGTCAAAAGACTCGAGTCGCTGCTGCTGTTGTCGGCGAAGAACCGGGTGAGCGACTCCCATGCGGCCTGTTGCCAGTGGTGCAGGTGCTTCATGAGGTGGTAGATGCTGGTGGCGACAGAGTGCAACGCGCTGCGCTCGGCGTCCCCCGCCGGCAAGCTGGCGTTCATTTTGTCGATCGACATGGCCTGCATCGTCAGGAACTGGCGGGCGAAGAACTTGACGACGGCGTCAACGTCGACAGATTCCAGAGCCTGACGGACTTCCGCCATGCTTCTCCCCTTCCCCAATGAGTGAGTTGCTGTCGACGAGTGTCGAGGACTCGGCGGCTGCTTGGGATCTTCTCGTGAGTAGTGGACGATCACGTCTTGGTTCTCCTCCTCAGATGGAGGAGCTGCAGACCCCTTGCTCTGGGCCTTGAATAGTGTCATGTGGCAGCTCAGCCGAGCCATGAGCTCGTCCGCTTCATCGATCAGACACGGCAGCTCATCCAGCAACGTCGATACCATTATTTGTCGCTGAGAGCTCAAAGGGACGGTCGCGGAGTGATGGAGACACAGAGAGAGACGGCTACTGCTTAATCGAGTATTTTTATCAAAGTTGAAAGCTTTTCCAAACTCTTTTCACCTTAGTTGAGCATTGGTGACAATGTCAAACCAGCAAGAAGAAGGTGAAGACTCGGTCGAGATCGACCAGGAGAGCGCGAACTTTCGCGGTCTGGAGCTCACCGTCGTGCCCGCTCGAATCTTCTCGCTGGAGAATGTTCGACGCCTGGATTTGTCTGTCAACGGACTTACGCGGTTCCCTGGGGCGCGTGTGAGCAGCCAGATGCCGAGCCTGGAGGTGCTGAATCTGAACGCCAACTTGTTGCATGTGATGGAGGACGTCCTGGCCTTGGCGTCGGCCCCTCGCCTCTGTGAGCTCGATTTGAGTGACAACCCTCTCAGGTTGAGCCACAACCGACTGTACTTGCTGGAAGCTCTGCTCTACCACGAAGCCAGTGTCGAGGAGGAGATTCTACGCGAGCTGCATCGGGATGAAGCCCTCAAAAACTTTGTTAGCGACTCGCAGTATCCGAGGAAACTGCTCTACCGCTCGCGTCTCCCACGTCGATGCGCATTTCCGATGCTGCAACTGCTGAATGGCGAGTGGATTTCAGACCTGGAGTCTCGTCAAGTGGAACTTGAACACGGTAAGCCTCTGGAATACTTTCGGTCGCAAGCTCGAGGAAGAAATGCAGGGAAAGCTGGCGGCAGGAGAAGCAACAACAACGTCAAAACAGCAAGAGAGACTGCGATCAATGTGAACGAAAGGTCATTCGACGGGAGTCGAATGACCGTCAAGCAAATGGTAAGATACCCGCCAAGCTTTTTTCATGTTTTCGGGTTGCTCAGCTGACCCATTTCCTGTTGTCAGCTCCGGAACGAAGCACGAAGTACCGCAATTCCATCGCCACAAGTGCTAAAGCACTATCAGATCGACACGGAGAGTTGTGAGGAGGTTTCTGCAGGACCGGATAAAACGCCTAAATCGACAAAGGTCTCAAAGCACTTGGAGCTCAGTGGCGCCAGCAGTGATGAAGACGATGAGCACGTGCTGATGCAGCGGCTTCATCGTCCTTTGAGTTGGCAACAGCCTGCAGCAGACGCAGATGAACCGAAGGAGGAAGAGGCAGTCTCCGACGTCAAGCGCCCTAGCGGTAGCAGCGAGACGGAGCCGTGGAACTACCCGATCAGCACCTTCGACGACTTGCACAGCGACGAGCGGCAATACGTCCGGTACAGGAGCAAGCACGTTGGAGGCACTTTTGAGCGGGACGACCACTTCTTCGAGTCCACGACGTTCCTCGACTGCGTGGCGCAGTGCGAACGCTCTCGGCGACTAACGATTCGAGCGGTGGATCTACTAACGCAGCCTCACTCGACGTCGGAGTACTCGAGCGATCTGTTCCCGTCGCGATCAACGCCTCAGCTGCCGTTGTCGGAGTCTGCCGCCACGTTGACAGACAACCTCACCTCGAACTTCACCAAACAACACGCACAGGAGAGCTTTCAGGTAACAACACGCTGTTTGTCTCCTTGGAGCGATATACTCACCCCCTAACTTTTCTCCAGCGCGTGACGGATTTTCAACAGAAACGAGTGACTGTCGGCGGTCATCGCATCGACGCAGGTTCGATGGGCGGCCTGAAGATGTTGAAAATGCTATAGACTCGTAACATTCAACCTTCTTGCTCGCAGAGGTCGGCGATTATTTGTTGGGGGAGCACATCTCATTGAGGCAGAAGACGAACCAGCTACTGAGCGGCCAGGCTGCGATCGAGACTCGTTGGCGCGATAACGCGCACGGTATCGAAGCGAGCTTGGAGGAGTCACTGAGCAAGGTGAAGCTGCGGAATGCCGTGGATCTCGCCAATACTCTCGGCGGTGGCAAGGAGCAGAAGCGTCACATCCAGACGCTGATCGACGCAGACGCGAGGGTGATTGAGGAGGAGCGCGTGATGGAAGAGCACAAGGCGCATCGACAGCGACTGAGACGGATCAACGCCCGCCAAGTGGTAAAACCTCCCGCAAGACGTGACGTCGAGCTCGCCAAGAAATTGGCGAGTCTGCATGAGGTATGTACCGTATGAACAATGGCTCTTGTGTCTCCGTATCCGCTGTGCTGTGTGTCCTAACCTTCTTCGAACTTGTCAGGAATCTCCATGGCAGGAACGCAACTGGAAGGCGAGGGTGAAGCTACACGAACGAATGCAGGAAGAGGGCGGAGTCGTCGAACAGCCTACGACGTCATCTCGTCGAGCGAAGAAGCCCCTCCTGGCTCGATCCAAGCTGCAACTGAAAACGTCACGGTCTTCTGAACGAGTAAAGACTTCGAAGGATGTTACGCCTGCCGTGGCGACGTTCCGCACGATCGAGACTGTGGAGATAGCAGCGCTGGATCCGTTAGTTGAAGTGAACTCCCACGACCTCCTCGTGCGCTGCTCGGAGATCCGCCAGCACAAAGACAAACACGTCAAGGCGCTGGTAATGCACCGCGATCGGTTCCTCGAAAACGAAGCGGAGTGGACGCACATGCGCCAAGACCCTATCAACGTCGTCCGCCGGCATCTTCGACGAAAGCTGTACCAAGACGTTCAGCAGGTTCAGATCGGGAGCACGGAGTACTTTTACTCGCCCGTCTTCCAGTAGACAGCAGCTCGACAACGCCGCGAATTGACAGTCTTACAACAACAATTCGTTAATAGTATGCAGAGTCCAGGAGCTCGTATCTCACCAGCATTTTCTATCGTACTTTGCTAGGTCCAGGCAAAATCTGTGAGCGGCATCCCGGCCTGGCTGCACGATCTCTTTGAGAAATTGAAGCAGCCGAGTAGTTTCCCTTGAAAAGGAATTCCGCGTCATGCGCTCGGCAGTTGATCTCCATTCTCGATCTCGGTATACCTCGCCAGGTTCAGGTCGCTCTTTGGACGCGGGTTGCCACCAAAGACCGGCTTGAGGTACTTCTCGTCCAGCTCGACCCATCTGCTGTGGACACTCACCGAACCAGGAGGAGAAATAGTGGGCTGCAGCAGCGGCTGCTGCTCGTCGGCCTCACCCGTGTATGCGTCTTCGTCAGTGGCAAGTTCACGCTCGGGCTGCGGGTCCCCGGTGAGCCCCAGGACACGCAGCAGAGGCCCCGTGGCCATGCCGAAGAACACCGTCGTGAACAGCACCAGGAACAGCGTCGAGCTCTTGAGAATCGCCGCGTGCACGGGGTCTCCAGTCGACACGTTCAGCACCAACGCGAACGCAATGGCGCCTCGCAGGCCAGAGAACCAGATGACGATCATGTACGAGAAGGGGATTTTCTGGGTCTCGGAGCGGCCCAAGTTGGCCAGCGAGCAGAGCGGGAACGTGTTGAGCGCTCTGGCCAGCAAGCACGCGCCAAAGTTGGCGAAGATGAAGCCCCAGTCCCAGACGAACGAGTCGCGGTAGGCGAACACGCTGAGCCCCAGGTACAGGTAGATGAAGTTCTCGGCCAGAAACGCCATGGTGGACAACAGCTGCTTGAAGGCGAAGGCGCTGGCCTTGGAGATATTGTACATGTGGTAGTGCCGGATGAAGACGCCGCTGAAGAAGACGGCCAGCAGGCCGCTGAGCTCGAACAGGTCGGCGGCCAGGTAGCTCGCGTAGCAGCTCAGCAGGATGATGGACATCTCGTAGATCGGGTGCTGTCGCAGGGCCGGGTCCGAGTGGCGCAGGAAGTAGGCGGACGAGTAGCAGATGGCCCCGGCCAGCGCCACGGAGCCCACGCCGATGCTCAGCAGCCGGAAGACCATGAACATGGCCACCTGCACGTTCACCTCCGAGTTGCCGCTCTCCACGAACCTCTGGAAGAGCGTGAAGATGACGATGGCCACTGCGTCGTTGAGCACGCTCTCCCCGAACACCAAGTTGAAGAGCAGCGACGGCGCGCGGCACTTCTTGAACACCAGCAGCGTGGCCACGGGGTCGATGGCCGAGATGAGGGACCCGTAGAGGAACGCCTCGGCCGACGTGAGCGGCGTGACGAGCCCCAGGCTGCCCAGCCAGAGCAGGATCCCGCCCGTGGCGAAGGTGGCCAGCAAAGTACCAACTATTGCCAATAGCAAAATGGCGAAGAAGTTGCTGAAAAAGCCCTTGCGCTGCGTGTTGAAGCCCGCCTCGAGGATGATTGGGGGCAGCAGCCCCAGGAACAGGATCTGCGGGTCCAGGCCGGCGCCTTGCACGCGCTGCAACGGCAATAGCAATAATCATAAAATAGTTGCATTGGTTAGAGAGAGAATTTTAACTTAATGCACGTGACAATAATATTGGCCTCGCATTTCAGTTTACGCACCGCCTCCGAGACAAGCGCCAATAACCCGCCGCTCAGCAGCCCGCAGAAAATGGCCCAGGACGACGTGGACAGCAGCGGCGCCTGGCGCATGCGGTCGATGCGGTAGGCCACGTTCACCAGCAGCAGCTGGATCACGGCGCACACCAGCAGCTCGGCGCCGGCCCAGCGCTGCTGCTCCTCCTGCTTCTCGGCGGCCAGCTCCATGGGCATCGCTCACGAACTGTGGCTCCTCTGGGGGCAAATCTTGCAATGGCAAACGGTGAGAGAGAGGCAGGCCTCTGCCACGCACTTGTTTGAAAATTTCCAAAACACGGTGTGTGGGTTAACATGCGCTCGTCTTTAGTAAAAGTGCGTTAATTTTAGTAAAAGTTCGTTTTTACTCTAAGTAAACCCAGTTTTTATAGGTGTTGAAACCAGTAAAAGTTCCCACCCCCAAACGGAGAGCCCATTTCCCTCGGTCCAGGAGCTTTTTTGGACCCATACTAAAAAGGCGCGAACAGGCCGATATCTAAGATATAAAGTATTAAAAACCAAAGAGACCTGTCAGAACGTATAATCCGATAAAAGATTGCGACAGCAGTACCGTGCCCTGGGCAAACTGCAACAAGGGCCCGTCGCTAGACGGTGGCGACGCTGCCAGAAGAAATGTGCGGCCGCGAGCGTGAGAGCTCGCGCTCGCCGGTCCAGCATGGACAAAAGGTTTCCAGTATACAGGTTCTGGGGCCCAGCATACAGCTTGTTGGTTCATAATATACGCGCACAGAAAATACTCTCTCCCCATGTTCCGTGCGTAACAGCGCACAAACGAGGATGAAGCACAGCAACCAGCGCAATTCTGCCGGTCTGCCGACCGTTGTGTGCTGATCTAGGCGCTAATACCTGGTCAACTTACAGAAGACGAAAGATGGAAGCTGACCTACCGAGGGTCTCTCGGAGTATTCTTTCTCGATGTCAACATACATCAAAACGACACCCTACAGTTTCAGTATCCACGGCACAATTGCACACACGCCAAGACACAGACGCCAGGATCTGCATAGGCGTGGTTATGCTCGTCTACAGAGGCAACTTGCCGCATCGTAGTGGTTTTCGGCATTGTCGTCTGGGACTCCCGAGCTTGGCTTCTGCGAGTCGCAGGGCAGGATGTCCTCGGGCGCAGTGTCGGAAGCCAAAAAAGGTGTACAGGTGAGCGCTTTTGTGGTCCTGCTGCGGACAAGTTGTTGAGCTCTCGTGCCAGCAAAAAAGACCGACCGAAGAATTTCACCGAGAATGTAGTATTGAGACTACAGAGCGCGGATGGTCAAACCAGCAAGGAGGTTAACTCGCATGATGGATACGCTGAATCTGCTGCTGTATCGGTCTCTGTCGTCGCCGGTAAAGGTCGAAATGACGACTCAAGTTGTACGCAAGTCGAGAACCGTGATGATACTGCTGACGAGGGATTAGTGTACGCAATTGTGGATCGCATGCCGGTAGGGCTTGCGTATTGGTACAGGGTCCAGTGGCGAGATGAGCCTGATGGATACCGGTGGGCCGACTCATGGCTGCCCAGGAAGCGTTTGCTGGAGGACGGCTTTGAGAAAGCATGTGCGGTCGTGGACATGTGGAAAGCGTCTAAGTACGCGTCGGTTTACGAGTTTTGCCGAAGGAATGGACACGTACACAATATCGGTGCCTCGCCGTCAGCAAATGGAAAATGTGCAGTTGTTGCTGTGGAGACTGCAGTTACGCTTCTCGGTAACTCTGGTTGGGCACCCCCCGGGTGCTTTGGTGCATTTGTGGAGTACTGCGACCAGCGGGGTCGACCCTTGTCGCCTGACGGTCTGACCACTCGAGAGCTTTGTTTCTACATCAAATACCTGAATGATCGGTGTGGTAGTTCGAAGACAAGTCAGATCAGCATCCGCGTATTCGATGACAATTTGCTAGGAGGTGTCAACGGCAAGAACGCGTCGGAAGTATTGGTGAAATGCGCTCTAGCGGATGGAGTTTACGTGTGCGCTGCCTACAGTTCACTACGAGTGACGCACTGCTTTGCGATCAAAGTTTTGAGAGGTGATAAGCTCATTTACGATGACAACAATGTTGCGGTGGAAATTCAAGCCTATGACGCAGAGTGGATCATGGAGACTATCTTTTTGCGCCGAATCGTGCTATAACTCCCTTAGTATTTTTGGCTGACAGCGTCTTCGTCTTAGGTATTACCTCGATTGGCTTAGCCACAATATACATTGCGGTAAGACGGAAAGTTTTTTAAATGAAGCCTTGGGTTTGTTACTTACTCGTGTCTTATTACCACGCTGTTAGTCAGGTCAGACTGCAACACGCGTTCATTCTACAAAATCCTTGAACCAACCCAGAAGATCGTAGCACACCACTCAGTATGAGGGGTATGGATCTTCGCGGCAGCGGTGGGGAATCGATACGCGCGTTGGTATGCAAGCTTTCGTCAAACTCTACCTGAATTGGAGCGGCGTACGCGTGACACAACCTTCTTGTGGGGCCGTGGCGGTGATAAAATTCGGAACGCTTGGCGTGACATTGGGCCGGAGGAACGCGCACGTCTAATCCAAGCAACACTGGATTCCAGTTTCCCCAATGATACGTACGGCATCATGGACGAACGTAAGGCTTACCCAGGACAACGAAAGAAGACGTCTGGCACAACATCGCCCAAGACCACTACGGCCAAGAAGACTACGGCCAAGATGGCCACCGCCAAAACGACTACGGCCAAGACGACTACGGCCAAGAAGACTGTGGTCACAACGTCTACTGCCACAACGACTACGGGCAAGATGACTACGGCCAAGACGAAGCGGCAACACGTTCAACCGACTTCCACGAACAATCCAAAACGTGTTCGATACAGCAGTCGAGTGACTGATGAGCCGATGCCAACCCAGCCTGTACAGCATGATACTCAGCTGCAAACACGATTCGCAGAGATGGAGCGCGCGGGTAACAACTACTACACAGTGCTGAGCAAAGAGCAGGGTCTCCGAATCCACGCAGCTTACAATGGCGGGAATATGGTCGGTATTATCGAAGCTGCTGTGGCCGGTGCGCAGAACGCGGTCGTCTTGGCCAGAATCAAGGACAAACCTAAGACAGTGGAGGACGCGTTTTCCGCCGTCGCACTTCGCCTGGACGATGTACTGGCGGTTCTAATGGGAACCGCTCAGTTCGAACCGGACCCTGAGTACGATCAACCCGATCCAAGGTTTGCTGCGGCGCGGATTAGACGCGCAAAACGACGATATGTTGATACCAAAAGCGCCCTGTACAAGCTTTGTGTTGAGCTTGGAGCGGATGAACCTGGTGAGATCGTCATCGGGAATCGTACGAGCCGATTCGTTGGGAGAGTTTAAGTGCATCGAAACTTTTTGTGAGGAAGCGATTTAGGCTGTGGGTATCGTCGATTTCCACAGCGATAAAGCAAAGAATACATGTATTCAATCACCTAGAGGGTTTGACCTAGTCAGTGTTCTCTATTCTAATAGAATATCTTGAACTGTCAGCGCTGGTGCTGCATGAGCAGGCCTTCCAACGGGCCCTGGGAGACCTTCAGAGCTGGGAGCTGAGGATGTACTGTTCGTCTGCTTCGTTTTTCGGCTAGACGCTTTTCCCTTCGACTTTTTTGGTTTGGATTGCTTACGCTTGGATCCGGAACGTTTTGCCTTGGCCTTTGCTACGATTCTGTTTTTCAACTTCGCCAGTGGGTTGCGTACACTACTGGTGATGTTAAATTTCCGGATAACCGCTACAACATGCCAGCACATCAGCATTTTCAAAAAGTAGGGACAGGTGCATCGCATGTGTGTGATGTCAACTAGCCACCCATCGGAAGGCATTCCTATGCGATGCGAACGCCGTAGAGACCATGATGTGGCTTGCTCGAAAAGCCTTTTCCAATTCGTGACCGTGTCGTCGTCCTCCTGTCCATCTGAATCCAGTCTAGATCGTAGTATGGCTGGGGTATCGCTCGCCGACGAGCTATCGGACGAATCTGATGTTGGGTTGTCTTGCGTGGATGTCAATGATAGAAACAAAGCCAATTGGCTGCTCGGTCCTGTTGCCGTATCGGTACGCGTGGAGGGAGCCGCATTGACTGTCTCCAGAAGAAATCCGTTTTCTTCTTCAGCTTGTTGGTCCGTGTCGGCGCGTAGAATCTCGAGGACTCGTACTTGGTTCGCATCGCTTGTCCTGGTGATAACAACTCGAGAAGCTTCAAGCATAGCTGCCGCTGCCTTCACTAACTCAGATGTTGGTGTGGATGTATATTCTGCTGGCGCGGGCTTGACGGGACTCGTCGTTTCGATGACGGTCCCGATTTTTTCGAGTAATCGACAGATATTATGCTTACGGCGCTGCAGAAAGTGCTTTAGTCCTCCATTTAGGTTCTCGCAGGGATTGTTGGTTAATGTGTAGCCCTCAGGATCGTGGTACAGTTGCCATCGCCAATAGCGGCCTGTTAGCCACTGCTGCTCGAAGTAGTCCGCGAATTCAACGAGATGTGTCTGCTTGCGCCAACTAGCTATTTCTCGATCTCGTGTACGCTCAAACTCCAACAAGCTTTGCGTAAAATGCATGTCGACAATCGAGTTCATCACATTTCTCCTTTCATCAAAGGGCAGGTGCTGTGTGCGTTTACGTACGTTGTACATAACGTGAAAATAACACATCAGCTTCGTAGCATTTGCAAAACAAGACACATTCTTTAGAGCCAAGAATTGAGCATCCTCAGCATCGCTCATGGTTGCATCGATACGAAGTGTTGCTCCTCGAACATGCCGGACGACGTCAGCAAAACTGCGCAAGCACTCGGTGTATTCATGTTCCGTGCGCCGACTCACCACGAAAAAAGCACCAACTTGGTATGAACGCCCTCGGTCCGTGAAGCCGCAAGTTATCACTGGATAGCCCAAGTCGCTAACCTTAAACGTGGCATCCGCATGGAACTGCACAAAATCACCAGAGTGGCAGAACCGTAGGCAGCTATCGATAAGTGCGAGAGACGTCACCCCAATAATGAAAGGGTCGTCGTCCTCGCCGGACCCCACATAAATAAAGCCATCCGTGTCCAACTTAGGTCCAAACAGAAAAGCAGAATCTGGCTGAAGTTCTGGTTTGTAGCGGCGAGCGCGAGCCATTTCATGCACGGCCTTGATTGAAGTTTTGGTGCCCTTCGAACGCCGGTGAACTTTCAGCGCATTTTGAATCTGGGAGAGCTCTGGCCATCCGCCTTTAGATGGCTTGATATTTGCTTGCTTCTTGAGATGTGCCAAAATAATACGTGGGGCGTTCCCAATCTCATCTTGTGCCGCGATAAATGCTTTCATCGGCTCAGTCACGACTGGCCGATGCTCCGCAGTACAGGGAAGAACACCACGGGCATGTGCCTGCTCGTTTACAGTTATCTGCCACTTGTCCTGAGCTGTGCAGTAGAACACCTTCCAGACCACGCCACATTTGCCAAACTCGCGACAAGTGCTGCTCAAGCACCGAAGACGTCTTTCTGTCATCGTATGTTCACCAGCACAAACACGGCAGTTGTCAAAGTCGACCTTGTGAAATATCGCCGAGCAGCACATCGACTCGTCACGGTAGTCATCGAATTCCCCCCGTGGAATTGTGTACGGCTAGCTGATGCCAGCCAGCCATGGCCGCTCCTGAACGAAAACCTCTGTCTGCAGCCGCCCGTGTGGTAACTTGGCCAGCACAATTAAGCTGATATTTATATGCCTCACAGTGGTTAGCAGTTATATTGGTGCCCCACAAATATAGTCTCTCCCTGTTGTCACTCCAACTGTATGGTGCAAACCCATATTTATATTCACTCCCCATGTACGTATATTTGTGCCTACAAATCTGTATATTTTGACACCATCGTCTCCAGCATGCCGGCAACTTGTTTCGAGTTGGCTGACACAGATGGCCGGCCCAGCCTATGGCCCGATGGGAAGCTTCCAGGCCAGCTGAGAGAACGCGTGGCTGAGACGATGCGCAGCGCCGACGAACGTGCGCATCTGCTGCAGCAACAGCGGCGTGGGCTCCATGTCGGCGATCTCGCGCACTTGGTCCATGGGAATGGGCGTCTCGTGCCTGCGGAGGACAGAGGGGGTTACCACCGAAATAGGTCAGAAAATGGACTGCTGTGTGGGTGGGTGGCAGGGGGGGGGGTGCAGCACGGTACGCACAGCTCGGGGGCAGCGGGCGCTTTGGGCGTGGCGCGCGCGGCCCAGCGCCGCCGCGCGGAGCTGCCGCTGTGGCGCCGAAGCAAGTCCAGGCGGATTCCGTTTTGTCGGGCGTTAAAACTGCCGATGTGGAAGATGCCAAAACGAGGTTCAGTTGTGGCATCTTCCACATCAGCCACAAAGAACGCGGGCGCGGGCCCGGAATTTTCCCTTCACCGTCGTGCGCTGCGGGGAACCGCAGGAGCGTTCTTATCGGTAAGCGCCACAGGGGGCAATTCCTCCAAGGGGGAATAATATAACTAGCTAAAAAACAGGGGCCTCATTGGTGCTCAACTTCAACGGGCAGACTTGGGGCGGCCCCGGCACAAGGCGACACGCGGGTTTGCTTACTGTACAGCACAGCATGAAGCGCCAACAATGGCGACCATAAAGAGGTTTCTGATCAGTTACAGAACACCTTTAGTGAAATCTATATAATCCGTTTGCAGCTGAGGAATCCAGATAGGTAACACATGGTCAGTTAGAGGGGTTCATTTAGGGAGGTGTCACTATCCACACTCGGGTGTCCACAGTCCAGTTCGCTTCGAGCCATGGTGCTGCGGATCCCCGTCATCTCGACGATCGAGGGCCTGGGCGCCGCCGTGCGCCAGCGTCTCGCGGCGTCCTCTGCCGCTGCGCAGCAAGTGGAGATCGTGGACGTGCCCGCCCCGGCGCAGGCCTCGTGGCCGCTCGACGCAGCGCAACGCCGCGCGCTGGAAGACGCCGAGTTCGTGCTGGCCGACGCGAATTTGGGCGCCCAGTTGCTACTGGCAAAAGACCCATTTCCGCCGAAAGAGACCCTTTTGACGCGGGTGAAATGGGTCCAATCCACCTACGCCGGCGTGGAGCCCTTTTTCAAGCAGTTAGCACTCTCTAACCAGGCAACTCCCCCCACCTTCACCTTAACCCGCGCGGGCGGAATTATGCCCAATGCCATGGCCCAGTACGTCTTCGGCTGGATCATCGCGCTTGAGCGCAAATTTCTGCAAGTGCAGGATTACCAGAAACAGCATAATTATGCTCGAGCCGAACTCGCGTACCGCTCCTTCCGGCCGCTGACCGTGGGCATCCTCGGCCTGGGGGAGATCGGCCAGGGCATCGGCCGCTTGATGAAGACGGCGGGCTTCCAGGTCGTAGGCTTCAAGCGCCGCACCAGTGCAGAAGATGGCTACAAATTGCAAGACTGCGCCGATCGCGTGTCCTCCGACCTGGACGAGGTTTTGGGCGCGGCCGACTTCGTGGTGAATATTCTGCCCAGCACTTCGGCTACCCGTGGACTGCTCACGCTGGAGAAGTTGCAGGTGTGCAGACCCAAGCAGCCGGTGTTCATCAACGTCGGACGGGGAGACGTCATCAAGGAGTCGGAGCTGGCCCAGGCCCTGGACGACGGAGTCTTCTCCAAGGCGGTGCTGGACGTGTTTGAGACGGAGCCGCTGCCCAAGGAGAGCCCGCTGTGGACTCACCCGAACGTGCTGCTCACCCCGCACGTGTCGGCGTTGAGTCTGCCGGAAGAGGTGGCTGACGTGTTCGTCAAGAACTTGGAGCTGCGACTGAAGGACCAGCCGATGTTGTACCCGGTCGACTGGGCCAACGGCTATTAGGCTGGTGGGGGGAGCGAGAGTGACGGGAGTCCACACCTTTGGTACCAACGCCGCAAAAAGCACTCAGCTTCGTGAAAGCCGCATCGGTGGGTCATTTGCAAAAAAATAATCTCCATCGTCGTCTACAAGCGGGTAAGTGAGCTTAAAAGAGGTTGTTGTGAAGTTCTTACAACTTCTGCTGGACTGAGTCCCCCTCCAATCGCATGAAGCAAGGCATCGTTGTATTGCGGTGACTGAGAGAATTTATACGTGAATTTCAACAAGCTTCCATATCGCTTTCGTCAATATATTGTCCCTTGAGCAAGCTGCACGTAAACCGATTGCGTTAGGCAGGTTGGTTGGACAGATCTTCCACAACCGTCCAGCCACTGGTGTCGGAGGCTTCAGTCTGCTGCTCGCCGCTTGGTACCGCTGGTCTTGACACGATCTCGCAGTCTCCACAAACTGTTGCGAGATGATCTTGAGCAGCGTCGACTACCATCGGCGCATTGCAGACATTGCAATGGCGTGGCTCGGGCTTGTCAGCTTTCGCCGCGCACACTTCACAAAATACGCCCTTCTCGTTACACCCCGTCAGTTCGGTATGAACGACCCTCGGACTGTTTCCACAGAGCCGGCAGGTGCGGAATACGAACGGACTGGGCGCTGGGAGCCTACTCACAGTTGGCGGAGGCGACTGCTTTGACTTCGGTTCTGAATCCGTGCTGACAAACTTGCTTTTCACCTTGCCATCGTTGCCTTTGAGTGGTGCAAGCCCGAACGCTCTGCAAATTTCGTTGCACTCGTGAGAGCTGTACAAAGCGTCCATGCCTGCACTCGCGAAGTCGGCGGGGCCGAACGTTCCTTCACGAATCGAGTGGATCAGCGGGTCCCTAAAGACGCTGCCAACCTCGTCTCGATCCACAGCCATGAGCGTTCCCAGTGTCTTCTGCCACGTGAAGTGGCTGAATGCTTGAGACTTGTCGCCAATTTCGCTCTCTTCATTGGCGGATTTGGTAGACTTCACCACGTATGGCTCCACTGTAAACAGAGTCGTTGATGCGTCAAGTCCCTCGATCTCGTACCAAGACGCGATCAATCCGTCACCGACACTACCGTCTTTAAAACCTGCCGAGAAATCCGACGCGAGTTTCCGAGCCACCGCGTGACGCTGGGCCTTTGCATTCATGCAAGCTTCAGATGTTGCTGCAGGGTCGACGTAAACTTTCGCCAGACAACACTTCTCCATCTCGCAGTCGAAAATGGCGTACGCCAGGGGTCGAAAAAAAGAATACAAAAACAATTATTACGGTATTGTTCCACTAAAATAATTGGTTATTGGGAATCGGCGTATTGCAATGATTATTGAGCTTTGTGAGCTTCAATATTTGTCAGTATTTTACCTCCATACAAATGTCAAGATACAATGCAGACTCAATACAATAATAGTGGTAGTCAATTGCGCAGCAACAAGATGAGTTTTTATTTTTCAGGGCTTGAGCAAAATATGCAGTAGCCGATCACAGCGAGGCCAATCGACTACCCCAACTTGAAGTTTCAGCAACAACAAACATTTTTTTCTGCAAGCTTTTGCCCAAGAGGATTGCGAACATTTAAAACGATGCTGTCTTCATCAAAACTAGGACGAGGCACGTTGCTCTATGAGTGTATTATTACGGTTACATGTATTGTGGTTTTCAAATATTTTGCCGCCCGATTTGACGTGTTATCTCAGAGTCCGATTTATATAAAATGGAGCTCCTACACACCTCTCATGACGCATTAGAACTGCAAGACATTGGGGACAATAGTACACTGTATATAGCCACTTCATAGCACTATGGCCAGCTAAATCACCTGTGTGATCATCTACGGCCGCTACAACCTCGATCTGAGAGGGCCCCAGACATGTTTTCGCGGCGGTCCCTTTGCCGGCGAAAAGCGGCATTTCTGGGCCCTGCTTCGCAACTCGCAGCCCCCAGACGCAGATCGGGCCAGATATAGTTTGCTTCCCTCAGCCCCTCCTGCTAAATCGGAGCCCTCCAGCAAATCGGGCCCGATATATCAGACCACCCGATTTGCCAAAACGGATGAAAGCCACAATGGCATTCAGGCCCACACGAACTTTGTCTATTGTACTGCTGCTGCGCCAATCGACAAAGGCTGCGCTGGTGTTGTCTGTCCCGCTCCTCCACAAACTTCTCCAGCTCACCAAACTTATCCTGCTGCACAATTGCGCCTCCGGTTGTAGGCGCGTGTGCACCCCAAGCTGTAGCTATGTATGGTCTCACCGCTCTCCTTCATGTGCGCGGAACCGGCGCACGCCATCGTAATCCTTTGACGTCAACACGGTCTGCAGTCAGCAGTTGCATGTAAGACCTGCTTACGCATCCATACGAACCACTTACTTAAAACCCGCCCGCACAGCCTCAGCGCGTTGCCTTGTGAGCACGCTTCATTGATCTTGGGCGGGGTGACGCGCCATGGAGGCAATGACGACTGGTACCTATAAGCTCCACCTGCAAATGCAAATTAGATGCCGATGAACTCCACAGGCAGCGATTCGCACACGAACCTGAGTCCAATCCCCACTGCGCCATACATGACCCCGCGCACGCCGCTCCCTACCGGCTTGCTGACAAGGTTTGATAACACGAGACACGAGTCCATCTTGCATGCCGTTGCCGTGGCTGATGAGCTCGCACGAGAAGCTCTGGCCAAGCAAGCGGCGCGGGCGTGGGGGCCCGCGTGTCAGCCGTCGGTCAGCCAGACCGTGGGTTCCACCAAAAAGAAAATCTTGTTGCTGCGAGCCCAGGTAGGCGAAAATTATTCTGGCCAATCAGAGCGCTGGAAAATATTTCTATCTTGCTGTGAGAAAAAAATCTCTCTTGTTGCTGCGCAATTGACTACCACTAATTACTGTATTGTTAATAATTGATTATTGGTGGGAGTCGTATTGCAATGATTATCACGGAAGAAAGAAACCTACAATACAATTTTATATTTTATTTTCCGACCCCTGCCTTGGTTGCGAACGGCTTTGGGAGAAGCCGAACTTTCACTCGATGAGTGACACGCTTTAGTTCCGCGTTGGCCCAGTTCGCATCAGCGCCATCAGAAGTGTGCACGTGGAGTGAATGGCGAACGACTTCAGTCTCGGCTGTTGCGATGAGCTCACCCCAGTTAAGTCTTTGGCAGTAGACACAGGTTCAGATTCCTGTTTCATCAGCTTCGTGCTCCATCGTGACAGCGGCAGCAGGTGCAACGCGCACTGCAGAATCCACACTGACAAACTTGGCGATAGGAAGCGAGTGTCGTGGCTTGCATATATTGTACGAGGCGATCACAGACGAGCGCAGACAATTCATCCCCCCAAACAACGTTAGTGGCGCCCCAAGGAAGTCATTTTCCGGACCTTCCATCAGCGTGGCGCGTCTGTATTCGGCCTCGAGCATCGCAGCCAGGATACCAGTGCTCTCAATCTCAATCAAGGAGAAATCCATGCCGCTCTTAGCGATCAGTTCCATCAGAACTGGAATGTTGCCTCCCCCGTTGGTGCTGGCGTTTACCAGTGCAGCCATTGTAGTGGCGTGCTTCCGGTGCGAGCCGTCAGTGATCAATACGACGCGTTTCTTTCTTGACTGGTAGTTCATCTCGAGCACCTTCTTCAATCCATCGACGATGCCATCGGGTCTGCAAGTTGAAGGTGGCGGATGCGTCTTATCCCGGAGAAGTTGAGGACAAAGCCAGAGTTTCCCGATGTCGCAAGTGTAGTTATAGTTAGATCTAGCAGGAGGTAGAGTTGATGATAGCTCACTTGCGAATTCTCCTCGCTCTAGCAATAACCTCGAAGGAACCCCCCTTCACGGACGTTCAAGGCGACCTTTCGCCATGCCTGCCCAGTATGTCTATCTAAAACCAGGCGTCTTCACGGCCGTGGGGTTTTGCTATGGCAAAGTTGACGCTTCAGCAAAGCGAGGCGGGAAGGTCAAGGTCAAGCTCGTTCGCAGTGGGCGGTGGACGGAAGCTCAACGCGAGACTAAGGAGCGGCAGTATGAAGAGATAGCCTCGAGAACGGTGACGACCACTGAGGCGCTCGACGGAGCGGGCACGTTTGTTGGAGGGGTGATCTGCACGTCTCGAGTGCCAGCACGTGGAGCAAGGGTCTGGGACTATGGCGTCGTTGTCGGCTACAGATGGGACGAAGACCAGCGAGGATCACTGGATGTGAACTTTAACGGGACAGTAGTCATCGCACATGAGCCAATAGCAGTGCTGGATGTGGTAGTCGAGATTTACGCGTTGCGGCCATGTATGGGCAAAAGTGTCAGTCTCAGTATGCCACAAGAGCTTCGGCAAAAACACGAGCAAGTGTACAACAAGTTCAACGGTGTCGGGCAGGTCGCAGTGCGCGAATCCACCCCGATTCTTGAAGAAGTCGGCGCGAAACGTTTGGACGAGACGCAACTGCTGCCACTGCTCGACATTACTAGTTTCGAGGTGAGTATGTTACCTATTCACCATATTCTCGACTATGTGTACTACAAGGACGGTGGCCGCTCGCCCCCAGACGGAGTGTTATTCGGCTTTTCGACCAAGTTCAAGCCGTGCCAGCCCGCCCCCAAGCGACTAGTGAAGGCGCAGGCACTGGGGCGGAACTGAGCGATGGTCTTAGCGAGTCAGAGGAGGATTCGAGTGACGAGCCGACACCGCCAAGAAGCTCAAACGTATCAGCGCAGAAACGCAGAGGTATTACTCGGGCCGGCCACGCGCAACCGACACGGGCAGAACCCGGGTATGGAGTACAAGTACCAGAGAGTGGCGATATCCGTCTCCAAGACAACTTGGACCAGATCATCTCATTGCGGAGGGCTGACATCGCGGTTCCGCCGCGGACTACGGCAGCTTCGTCGGAGAGTGGTCAGTTGCAGCCTACGACAACCCAGACACGAATTCACGTGGCCCTCATTAACGGTAAGTACGCGTCAATGACGCCCCAGCAATTTCTCGATTTCGTTCAGATTCATTGGAGAAAGTTTGGTTTCTTTCCGCACCCTGCTGTCCTGCGCGCGCTGTTTGGTTGGGACTTTGGAACAAGAGGATTGTCCTTGGCGCATTTTACTCGTGTGACTGAGCAAGAGAGACGTGCGAAGGTTCGCAAATTTGACATGAGTAATTTCTCGAAGAAGAACAAGCTTCCTACACCGACCTCAATTGCAACATTTTCAGCTCTGGTAGGCGCTGTGGAAGTGCTGTGCAACCTGGCTCGCCAGTTGTACCAACCGATGGTACAGGAAGCATTTGCGGCTGCAGCACCTTTTCTGGGAGAGTTACAAGTCAGCGATCTCCCGACGTCAGAGTCTGCGTTGGTCGAGATAACGGCTTGGGTGGATGACCGTCTTGAACTGTTTCGTGTCTACGTGTCTGAGGACAACTGGACGGAGGCCGCATCAATCCAAAATCATTTTCCGGCGTCACACGAGTCCTTCGTGCGAGTCTACCGGTTGATCTTGCGTCAAGATGTCGCGAATGCGCTCCGAGCCTCAAAGTTACCTGCTATTCGCGATGACGGTTCAACTCGAGGAAAGCAGCGATCAGCACGAATCCCTCTGGCTGTGCGCAAGGCGTTGCCAAAACAGGGTGAAAAGCAGGTTTGCTTGCGGTTTTTGTCGGCTCAGGTTGCCGGGGCAAGAATGGCAAGTGCATAATTGACAATCTTTGTCACTTCAAGCCTGCCGCCTTACCTGATTTTGTTCGAGACTTCATTGACAAGAATTATGGAGGATTGTCGTCTGACATGCAGTGATGGTGCCTAGAAGCGCATCGAGGGCTAGGCGCTTCGAAGGAATTCGGCCCAACAGTGGACACACAAGTACGTAGATCAATCTAACCCGAATATGGCCCCAATACATCGTTTGTATTCTGCAAAAACCATATCACGTTGTGAAGATCCGTCGTCTGCTCCCGCCAAGTCGTGTGATACATTCAACTCGCCACACAACGGCCAAATGATCGGAATGGCTGGGAAAGGCCCTCACTCCGATCCTTATCGAGGTCATCCAACAGGGAAAGGCCCTTGTGTCCACCAGGACGGAACGCTGGGAAAGGCCCCCGTGTCCTCCAGGGAATACTGCAGGGAAAGGCCCTTGGAGTTGCCGAAGGACGATAGTCCAAGCGTGAAGCACGAAATGGATGTGGTGAACAAAGCTCAAATTGCAGAGCACTCTTTATCTGATTACCTGGCGACACGACAGCATCGATTTGACCAAACCGTGTTGGCGCGTCGGAGGTTAGCGGAGCTTGGCGTCGAAACGGCCTCGAAAGAAATGGTATCTGCATTGATGAAACACGGGCTCAAGCCGCCAAAACCAGCACCACGCCATGTAGTTCGAAACAACAAGATGGTGTATATACTTGACCGCCATAAGCAGGCAGTGTATAGCGAGCTGATTCGACGAGCTGGACTGCAGCCACCTGCTTTCGTACGTTTGCTTCGTGGTGAAACTTTGCTCGACTCGCGTCCCAATAAGGCGCTAGAAATACCTACGGCTCACGTATCGTGGGCTGACTATCAGTATCAGGCGCGGTGGAAAAATATCGTGATGCACGGTGTTCAGCCAAAGTGGTGTAAAGAGTTCTCTTCACAACCAGTACCTCCTCCAAACCACGGGTCAGCAAAACGAGCATTGAATACTATCATCAAGAATCTCCGCGCCGGGCAGGATTCGAATCGGTATCTCATCCTCGATATCGATTTGCTTCCACTACTAGAAGGAGTGACGTGCAGCCCTTTCGGCGCTGTTCAGAAAGGGGAGGTCGACCTAGAAGAAGATGCTCGGATTATCCACGATTTGTCGTTCCCACCAGGTAGCTCCGTAAACGACAACACTGTTTCTGATGACGATATCGACATTTCGTACGATGGTGCCGAAGCCATATCCAATCGTATCGTTGATGTTGCGGAAATATTCCCGAAACTGCAGCGTATGATGACAGCGGATGTCAACGGAGCATTTCGAAATATTCCGATAGCAGCACAGTACGTTGGTAGATTTGCAGGAACAATTCCAGAGCTGGGCATACTCGTGATCGACCTTTGCTGCCCATTTGGTTGGAAAATCTCGCCCTCCTCATACTGGGTAGCGGGGGCTGCTATAAATCATCTTTACGCGAACGCTTCTCCAGAGTGGCCTGGACAACCAGTAGAAGCTCAAGGAAACTTCAATGCAAAAGCCTGGTGTGACGACCACATCGCCATTGAGCCGGACATCGGCTCACGACTATCGGAAGCGCATTTAGCTCTATGAGCCTCCATGATCGCCGTTTTAGGACCGGAGGCGTGCAATGACAAGAAATTCTCAAAGTGGTTTGTGTCTGGGGTTGGATTGGGATCTCGAGGCCCTTACCGTATCTATTCCCCCAGAGAAGGTCGAAAAGGCTCATCGCCGCATTGTGGCAATGCTGAACAGAACTAAAACAACGAGGACGCTGCTTTTAAAGCTGTTGGGTAGTCTTCGTCACGTGGTGACTTGTATCCGCTCAGCAGCTCCGTTCTTCCAGAGGGTGGCTACATTAGCGCGGCAAGCCCCTCGGTTCGGTGCTATTGGGGTTTCTGAGCAAGCGACGGGCGACCTTCGGTGGTTTGATTCGATCCTTGCAATCGGTAGACTGAACGGAATCCCGCTTCAACATTTTACGCGTCGACACGAACCTAATATCGATATCTACATGGATGCTAGTGATCGAGGCTTGTGTGCACTCTTTCCTGCTCGAAAAGAGTATTTGCAAGTCCAATTTGATGCAAAAGAGCTGGCATTAATTCGTAGTTTCAACGATCACAGTGCCAACGAATTTTGTATCAATGTTCGTGAATTGATGAGTGCGGTGTTCGCCTCCCTGGTGTGGGGGCATGTGTGGGCCGACTCCAGCGACAAATTTGACTCTCACATCAAGTTCTGGATAGATAATAGCCCAGCCGTGTCTTGGAACAACCGCAAGTCAAGTCGCAACAGCTACGGGCAAATGCTGTTGCGGATTCTCGGGATGTGTGAAGTCAGATATGGATTCTACACCTCAGCGGGTCATATTCCTGGGATTAATAACGAAATGGCAGACGCAGGAAGCAGGGTGTGGCAGTCACCTTCATTAGCGAGAAAGTTTGCTAACTTGTCATTTGGATGGAAACAGGTGCAGATCCCAACCGACTGTCGCAATCTCTCGCGTCTTTGGGCGCGCTACTGCGTGCTGGGGCGCTTGCCCAGTCGTCAAGAAAGAATTACTCACGTGGATGGGGACAGTGGGTCGCCTGGTGCGAGATGATGCGATTAAGTCCCTAGTTATGTTCTTCGTCGGTCGACCAAAATGCAGAGCAGCTCGGAGCGTACGCCATGTACCTCTGGCAGTACGGAATGAACCGAAATCACGTCGGTAATACCTACTTGACGATCTGTGGGAAGCTCTGTGCTGTAAGATGGTTCCATCGCAACACAGTCGGCTATGATCCGGGCGTTAGCGCCAGTCACGCAATCCTATTGCGAGGAATTCGTAGATTCACTGATCCAGTTGTGAAGCAGCAGCCCCTATCGGCGAGGATGCTTCGTGTTATCTTCTGCGAGATCAATCTCACGCAGCCCCGCGATCAACTGTTGTGGGGTGGGCTGCTTCTGGGGTATTTCTTCTTACTCAGGCGCTCTGAGTATTTTTTCATCGGAAGAAAAGTCCGCTCGTATGTCTTGCAGCTGTCAGCACTTCAGTTTTATAGCCGCAATGAAGAAGTCGTGAGCCCCAAGAAAGCGGTGGTGGTGGGCATCACTCTCAGAGGGGCCCAAAACAATGAATTTGGTCGCGAAGAAGTGCGATATCATTACAAAACGAAGGCCAAACTTATTTGTCCAGTTCGAGCAGCCCGTTGGATTGTCAAAGCAGCGAAGACCCTGGGAACCCGAGCTGAGGACTCAGCACTGGCAACGCGACACGGAGGAATAACCGCCGGGGATGTGTCGTCGGTGGTAAAGAGAGCAGCATCGAGAATGGGCCTCGATCCAGCGAGATTTTCGACTCATTCTGTTCGCATAGGGGGCGCTGACTATCGAACGCATTCGAAGACTACCCGGTGCTGTCAGCAAAAGGAACTGCTGGCCTCTCTCAGCAGATGTGCTGACCTGGTATAAGCTATCTCTCCAATGGCTCGCCGCGTCGGCAGTATTGATGTGGGGCAGCCGTTGGCTGTGGCTAGACGGACCGAACACAATGGGTGTTCTGTATAGTGTTCTGTCATAGCCGGACAGAACATTGGACAGAACAGTCTATTGGAACCAGCAGTAAAAGCACCAAGTGCCACGGATGAACATTCTTGCCAACAACCCTCGCGCATCGTGCTCAAACGATAGCGTTGTTTGCTTCACCACGCCATGCACACTGATAAAGCTCGCGTTGATTATAAACATCGTGAACTCAAAGCTAACAGTGCTGTAAGTTTCATGCGCTTGGGCAACCGCCACCGACAAAGGAATTTAAGTTGCTAGCGACCAGATACAGTCGCGCAGAAGTGCTAAAACAGAATGCAGTATAAAGCCCCGTAGAAGCGTTTACATCAAAAGCGCATTGGGGGCTAACAAAGGTTTATTTACTTTTACACAATAGATCACCGCAGCTTTCATGCCATACTTGCTGCGCAGCTTTTGTGCCATCATGACTATACTCAACAATTAATGCGTACGATCACCTTGTTGGAGCTGCGGATAGCTGTCGTGGCATACGTCAACACTTCACCCGACTGATACTCTGACTTGTCGCCATCGTCTTCTCCGATGTGTCGCTGCACAGCAGGCTTCCTTTGCTGAAGGCAGCAAGTCGATGTAGACTTCGTCAAGTAGGGCTCGACTCGGACAATAACTCTTCTGCCTACGTCGAAGAACCCGTACTTGGAACCTCCCCGCCTTGGTCTTCAACTCACTGAGCTCGAGCTTGATGCACAGGTTCCGCCATGAACTCGCATGAAATGCCCCTCGTTGAAGAAGGCTTCCGGGGCCGACACGTCAAAGATAGCCGCAGGAGCACAGCCTTGATGCACGACTAGGCACACTGAAAGCGCCGCCGTTGGTCCGACACTGTGGAAAATGAAGCGCCAGCGGCATACACGCACCCTGACGCAAGCCTGAGCCCGTCAGACAGGTTCAACAGCAGCTCACCCTGTACACCAGCATGCAGACGCGAGCGTCAGTCATTACAGACAGCGAAAGCATTTACATCATTCGTTCATTCGTTCAAACCTGTACGAGTGTCAGCGCTATTCTTGCATTGTGCTTCGTGGGCGTCGAATTCTAAAATGAGCGACGGACACCTCGGAGCGTTTCGGTATAGGCGACATAAAGTTGTAGAGTCTGAGTATCAAATTAAGGAGGCTTGGGCGCTTCAACTTGGCTAGCGCAATTCGTCCGAAAGAGCTTACGTCGCTCCACCACTGCAAACTTGTGTAGCTGCTCGCTACCAAGACCACCGGGTCCTAAATGTAACTTGGTCTAACTCGTACAGCTACCTAGATCGCATCATCGAGCTTTGACAGACACAAACGTTGAGGCCGGAGTGGCCAAAGTTTAAATAGATCAAACTTACGTTATGCAATGGCCCATGTATTCACACAACCGAAGCAAGCTACGTGTTATGAAGGCGCAGCACTGCGGATATCCCCGCTTTCGATTGTACCAGCGAGATCAGCATCGACTCGACATTGGAGCGGACGTCGGTCCCGCTTAGCTTTTCACCCTCACGATATCTTCGTCGTCGTGGCATGGCTAGAGCAGGCCATGAAGGCTGTGGGCGCCAATGAGTGCAAGATGTGGGACAATGTATCTGGTGCAGGTATGACTTGGCTCTCCTCTTGCCAGTCAAGTAGAGTACGTTTCGGTCCTTCCCGGGAACCCCCTCGCCCTCGCTCTTGGAGAGCAACAATTTCTCTATACACAACGTGCCGCGAACGTCACTGCGGTCAGACAGGTTTGCTTTGGGTCGTGATGTCGAGATCGGTCATGGTGCGCGCAATATCTTCCATCCTGAGCTGTGTCGGTTAGGGTCCGCCGGCATCACTCCAAACTTCAGAGGTACGGCTCGTTGGTTATCATCCTTACAAATTGAGCACCTTCGGTGTGGAGAAGTAGATAAAGCCGGGTTACTCCTAGATGCAGACGCAAACCGTCTACAGTAACTCTTCAGGGAACTAAACACGTAAACGCAGAGAACCTGCACCCGCTTGCACTTGGCTTAGCGCGGGAGATCAGGCAATTGATTGTATGGCATTATGTCATTGGCGTGGTAGCCCACGCTCTTGCCCTCGAGTTTCATCATGTCGAAGCAGCTTTAGCAAAAGCCGTGGTGGTTGCGAACGACTTATTGATCTTCTAGTCGGTTCTCGTGAAGGCCAACGAACGATACTGCAGATAGAAACATCACTAAGCCTACAATGGATTCGCCTTCATATGTCTAGCTGCGCTAGCATGTATATACCGTGTACGTATTGCTACGTACAGATCCGGCATCCCAAGATAACTAGGCCTGGTTGGCTCCATGTTGAAAAGGACCACTTTTCCCGTTGCACCATGTCACAACGAAGCTTTTTGGGCTGATACACGCCCCAAGCGCCCCGTGGCTGCGGGGATGGCGACCCCGAGCATTCTTCACCAAGGCCGCACCACCCACGACCAGTTCCACGACGCCCAAGCGAGCGGAGCCAGCTTTATCCATACTACCCAGTGCAGTGCAGCGCCGCTGGACACGTGCCCCAGTACTGTGCTGCAACACGGGAACTAGCTCCAATAATGCGATAGATTCACTTGCGATTCGCTTCGGAAGCGTGCGTGATAAATTTTACAAGGTATTTTATAAAGTAATACGGGTTATGTTCTGTGCATTGTTCTGTATGAATTGACAGAACCAAGGACAGAACGTAATCAAAGTTCTGTCCGTCTAGCCACTATCGGCAGCCGCCACGCCACGCCCTTGATGTGGCAAAATCTACATTTATTTGCCCCACACATGGACATTGTTGGAAACGTCACCCTCAAGGTCGAGGCGTGAGACGAATTCGCTGACGCTGTCGATGTACTGCGGGTCCGGTAAATGAAGGCACCCCACGGTGCGGTTGGGGTCGATGTTGCACTGCGTGATCTTCGGGACGCCGTCCATCTCTTGGGCGCCTAACTGCCGGAGACCGTGCCAGTGCAGGTACGTCGGCTCATCGAGTTCGTTGGTGACGCTTACCTCGACGTCCTGGCCGAGCTGCACGTCGATGGCGGCTTCGTGAGCAGGCCGGTCGTTGATGCCAAGGGAGGTGGTGGGGACTCCGTTGAAAGCTGTTGCAACCGGTGTCACTCGCCAGTCGTACGAGACGACGCCAGCAGTGACGCTAGCGGCTTGGAGTGCAATGCCAGTGATAGCGACAATGGTGGCGCTGGCAAGGCGTAAGAAGGCCATGTTGCAGTGGAGGACGTTGATGGATGGTTGGTGATACTGCTTGGGCCTCGGCAGTGAGTTGGTTGACCCGTTCGTTGTCGGAGGAGGAGAATTGGTGAATGAGATCGCTTCAGCCGGGTATCTTTTTGTCGAGGCGACTAGCAAGTATCAGTGGATCACATCGTGGTGGGTGTGCGGGTAGTATGGTATCCTGGGTTGTCTGCTGTGCGCGGTGCCGTCGGCGTGGTCCTCCTCAGTCAAAAGCTACGCTTGATACTCAGCTGTTGAGCTGTTCGCAACGTCCTTTGCGCGCTGGCGAAAAGATACTACCAGTATGGTACGCCCTCGTGGTGATAATGGATCAAGTTGGTTTCGACTCATGCATTTTCGTATCTCCGCTGTAGCAACTAACAAGTGTAGCAATACAATGCAGGTTCATGGAAATCTACCAAACAGTACGAATATGCTCGAGGCAACACTTGACACTTAGCTGAACCCTTTCAGAGTTATCTAGAACCGCGAAAACGTGTAGATAATATCAAAAGAAGTTTAGACTGCTACCCAGTGGTAGCAATCTCAGCTTTGCGAGTGCCATGGTGGCGATAACCATAGGATTTCCACGCGATATAGCGACGGAAGTGGTCGGGGCCCACCATTGTGCGCGCGAAAGGATTGTATCCCTGTTATTATATCCCATAGGTAAGACTGAAAATGTTCAGCTAAGTGTCAATCTTTGTGTTAGCAAGCTGTGAAATTTTAAAAAGGAATCGGAGCAATATTGGCTCTGGTAGGTCAGTACAAAACTAGGGCTCCGCGAAGGCTGGGATAGGAGAATTTTGGTATAAACCTTTCTTTTTTAATTTTTATTAATTACTTTTCTTACTAGCTACGGTCATCTCCTGCGCCTGCTTCGCAGCCGCAGCATCTGTCCGGATTTTTTCTTAAAGTTGTAGATGCAAGGTATCAACCGGCAATGCTTTACAAAATTAAAAATGCAAACCTTGGTTGAGATCCGTTTTGCAGCTTGTAGAAAATGCAAATGCTTACTGAGTACCTCTAGTAGTCCAAGCGTTCTCTTCTCTTCACTTCGTCCATCCGTACCCTGCTCAATATATGCACTGATTCATACCAGTGGCGTCGGTAGCACACCGGTTCAATCTGCCCACGCATATAAACCTTTTGGAGGGCCCAGTGCGACACTGGGGTAATATCGGTGTGATGGGTATCCTACCGGTTCGGTCTGCCGACGCATATAAACCTTTTGGAGGGCCCAGTGCGGCACCGGGGCCGTACCGGTTTCAAGAAATATACCAGTTAGATGTCAAGAGGGGTCATCGTTTGACTTGATGTACCACGGATATAATCCTATTTGGTCTGCGAAAGCAGCACTAACGTTGCTTCCTATCCCAGTAAAATCGTCCCTTAATATAACGGATAGCGCCAAATAGCTTACCCTTCCCGAATTGAATACCCCCTCTCAAATCTGATAGAAGTTGTTGAGTATACAAAGCTATTGTACCTACGCCAATTTGTATACCTCAACCAGCCCCAGCCATAGCGACCATTGCTCCGCATTGCCATTGTCAGCCCCCATTTCTAAAAATCGCCACCTCCGACAAGCACTGCCCCCCAGCTCTACCAAGCCGCCATGTCCCCATCTCGCGTCGCCAAAACCATGGCTGAGAAGCAGGAAGTCGTCACCTGGATCGAGAAGCACGGCAACACCCTAGCAAAAGCGGCCGACCACTTCCAGAATGAGCTCGGCTGGAAAGTTTCTGCTGCGCAGATTCGCTATTGGTGGAAGCAGAAGGACTCCATCAAGAACTCCCCTGTCTCCAACCTTCGCCTGAAAGGGGCTGGTGCGAAGCCACGGCTGGCGGAGGTAGAGGATATGATCTTTGATCAAGTCCTCTTCCTTCGGTCCGAGAAGAAGAAGGTATCGCGGAGCATGATCGCTGACCTTGGGAAGCAGCTCGCCCAATCTGAGCTTCGCGACGACAGCTTCGTGGGCTCTAACAAGTGTCATGCGTCGGTATGGCCTATCTCTACGTCGGACGACAAATCTGACCGTCCTCACAGACGACGTGCTGACGGACAGAGCCGTGAGGTTTATGGAGTTCCTGACGCCGCGCATTGACACGCTGAGCCTCGAGCACACCGTCCTAATGGACGAAACAGCCGTCTACTTCGAGGATCCGCGTCGTCAGACAATTGACGCCACCGGTGCCCGCCATGTCGTCCTCAAGTCAACGGGGTGCGCTTCAATGCGCGTGACCGCTGTCCTCGCTGTGTCAGCGTCTGGTCGTAAGCTGCCTGTGGAAAGGCGCTCGCCAGGATGGTGAGATCGAGAAGATCGGCAACGCTTACGTGGCGTATCAAAAGCGTGCGTGGGTTGACTCACAGCTGCCGATCAAGTGGCTCGACCTTGTTTTCCCTCCTGTGCTGGATGCAGCGACGTCGGGCAAGGCCATGGTTTGGGATTCAATGCGCGCGCACACGTCGAAGCTGGTGAAGGCGCAATTCGCAAAGAAGAACATTGAGATGTTCGTGATCCCAGGGGGGCTAACGCCCTACGTGCAAGCCGGTGACATCGGCATCTACAAGTCTTTCAAAGACAAGCTCTCAGCCATTATCGACGAATGGAAAAACTCGGATCGCGTGCTGTACACCAAGGGAGGCAATCCAAAGCAGCCACCTGTGGCGGACGTTGTTGAGTGGGTGCAGACAACATGGAAAGCGGTGCCCGGCGACGTTGTGCGCCGCTCCGTGGCTGCTGCAGGATTTTCGCCGTGGTTTGAGGACTGGTACATCAGTCGCCACGACGTCTACGGTGATCTGTTTTGCCGCAAGTGGCTAACCCGCGATGAAACCTCCGAAGGTGATGAAGTTGAGGACGAACTGCTCGAAAATCTGGACGAGTTCACCATTTGGGACTCGGAGGCTTCCGTCTGAATCTGGTAGTATACCCCCTCCCCTATTTGTATACCTTCCTAAAATTGATAAGTGCTCAATTCAATAGTATACGGTACACAAATTGGCGCTATCCGTTAGTTGGCTTGACCGGAAATGCGAACTGACCGGAAATGTGCCACACAGGGATACTGCCTGCTGATCCTCACTTCTGTGTTGCTGCTAGTGAGTTCCCACGCTGCGCAAAGCTGCAGTTCACAACAGTATCTTTTCGCCAGCGCGCAAAGGACGTTGCGAACAGCTCAACAGCTGAGTATCAAGCGTAGCTTTTGACTGAGGAGGACCACGCCGACGGCACCGCGCACAGCAGACAACCCAGGATACCATACTACCCGCACACCCACCACGATGTGATCCACTGATACTTGCTAGTCGCCACGGTTGCTCTTGGGTCTCCTGGGTTACATACAAATTCAAGTCGCAACAGAGCTTTTTAATCGGATTTTTAGGTTGATCCGCATAGCGACCACTCATCTTGATTCTAATTGCAACTACGTTTTGAACTGCTTCGCGCTGACTTTACTTCTCTCTATCTGCAGCTCTTGCAACTCGTTGGAGGTGGCACTTCCTTCATCTCGTACCAATAGGGCTTGTAGGGCATATCCCCTTGCATGTTACGCACTTGCGTTGTTCGCGCTTTGTCAGCTTCATCGTGCACTCGGAACTGTACATATATTTCCCGCCCCACGGCGTGCTCACGCAAGAATTCACTACGAAGCACCGTCAAGAAGGCACCGCAAAGAGGACAACTGCACGTTATGGACTTGTCCTTCGAGGGCTCTTTCGTCACGGGGGCGTCCATCGGCATCACGGAAGCTTCATCACTGCCGAAATGATGCAGTCCCAAGGCGCGACAGATATCGTTACACTCGTGCGTGCTGAAGAACGCAATCATGCCCCGTTCTGCCAAGTTCCCTTGGCCGAATCTGCTTTCTTCCGACGAGTGGATCTGAGGATCCGTGAACACCGACCCCACGCCCTGCAGATCCACAACCAAGTGCTTTCCAGATGTCGCTTGCCACGTGAAGTGGCTGAACGCCTGGGCTGTAGCTGCAAGCGGTAGCTCCGGGTCGCACGTCCAGCCGATGTTGTTGTTGTACTTCTCGTACCCTTCGCCGATATATCGCTCAGCAGTGAACTTCTTCACGGACGGGTGCAGTCCAGCCGCGACTGGGTCCTCCATCTCGTACCAGCACGTAAAGATGAAATCCACCGTGCCGTCCACCCGCGGGTCCAGCGAAAACTCCGTCGCAAGCTGCTTCGCAACGATCTGCACCTCAACGTCGTTTTCTAGCGTGAAGTCCGACTTGGATGAAGGCACGAGACTTGTCGCGGCTGCTCCGAAGTAGCACTTGGCCACGCTCTGAATCTCCAGCTTGCAATCGTACATGAGCGCATCGCTCCTTGGGCGAAACACGTCGGGAGGATCTGGATCGTGGCCTGCTGCTTTGTATGTTTCAGTTCGGGGTTGGCCCAATCGATCCTTTCGTTCGGTAGGAAGTGGAACGAGTGCCGCACTGCGCGGATTTTAGACATCACGTATACTTCGTTCCGATGTTGAGGCTTCACAACTGGGCGGGGACGGTAGCTTCGTCATCTGAGTCGCTGTCTTCTTCTTTGATGTCTTTCATCGGAGTAGTTTGCTTTCCAGTTGGGCCGTAGTGGCGAAGAGTAGATACCCCCAAAGCTTTGTCTGACGCAACTAACACGCTTCGACTTTTGCTGGCTTTCAGCGAGGAGTCAGTCGACAAGCGCACGATACCCGCCAGCCGCACAGCGTCTCCGTCGAGATCCGCTGGGCGGCTGCGGAGACGAAGTCAGGTACTGTGGCTACTCGACGGGGGCGGCGAACGGGTTTCAGCACACCCAGAACAAACCAAACCAAACCAAACCTCGGCCAGTTCAAACCAAACCAAAATTACCAGCAAACCAGGTTTGGATCGGTTTCATGGTTTGAACGCGTTTCATTTTGTAACCCCAAACCAAGCATGCGGTTTTTGCGAACCAGCGCGCTGGTTTGAACCGCGGCTGCACATTCGCAGGCAATGCGGCTTTTACAGAATGAATCGCGGTTAGAATCACTTCACCGTTATCGTGCTCTTCGGCAAGGCCACGACAACAATTATCGCGATTGAGAAACCGCTTCGATCAGTGCGACCACGGGAGCGCCCAAAGATAAAGTAGTTGCAAGCAAGCTTACTGTTAGCTTGAGCCAGTCTCCGGCTCATGATATAATGGGCATTTGCCCTCAAACTTTCTTTTGCGGTAAAAAAAATATACACAGGCAGACACGACGTCAGAGAGTATATAAATCCAGATATTCAACAAGTTTACTCGATAAATCAAGGGGGATCTACACGCAAAATTTGCTCGTTTATTAAGATGCCACGGGCTCAAACCTTCGAACGGTCCCCTTATTCCAACTTGGAGCTCCGGAATCCAGGACGAAGGAGCGAATGGAGGATTTAGTTAGGTCGTTCGAGCGCTGGACGGGAATATGTGTTTACAGGTAGGCAAGATCGCATCACAGCACTAGCCGTGGCCAGTGGAAATGGCGATTTTGATGCGAAGTCTCTCAAGAAAGATCAAAAGAGGCTGGTGTTCGTCTGCGTGAGCAACTAAGTTTGTGCGCACACCAATGGCTTGCTTCTGTTTGCACTTTCAAGACGAAGTGGTTCCGTCTCTAAAGCTCCCTAAGTTCCGCTGATACGTAGGTCGCGTTCACAATTTGGCTACTGCAAGCTCGGGATAGATAGGCTATCTACATAAGTAGTTTACTTAACATACAGTGCACTACATGTATCTTATTGATCAGTAGAAATTATCCTTGTTACAGGTTAGTGACTTCTCGATAAGCAAAAACCGTTCTGACTACGGAGCTAAGAGAAACGTAATGAATGGTGTCGTCCAAGATTGAGATATCCGAAGCGCTGGGTGGTGCTTGAACAGCTCCCTCGGCGTTTGTTAAGAGAGCGCGCCTGCGTATAGCAAACACCCGAGGGTGGGCCGCGACAAAACGGTGCAGGCGTGATAAAGCGGGGAATTCGTGCAGACAATCTTGAAGACGCTGGCAGGTAGCATAACTTATTGCTGTTCAGAGCTACGTTGAACTCGATTGTCCATATTGCTCTCGCACTCATCTTCCAGAAGCGTCATCATAGTTTCTAACTGCCTGCGGCATTTTAGCTTAATTTTTACCCGTGAATCAAAACCTTAGGATACGAGCGCATGTACTGCTTTGAGGTGGCTCGAGTAGCATTAAGGAAGGAGGAAGCTATGAATTGGTAGGAAGACGTTATGAATTCTCATTTGTTGGTAAGAAATTTGTTCGTAGTACGTTCTGCTGTGTAGGGGTACGGAATTCAATGCTGAGTCACAAGAGCTCGCATAATACTCACAGTCAGTTAAGGCGTGTGCCAGTAGATATTTTGCCAGTGACGACGAAATGAACTGGCTAGTTTTTTTTGTTGTTGGATGGCCCGCGTTGGTTTCATGAAAGCGGCATGGGGGCAACTATCGTCCTTTTGCGTGGGCTGAGGATCAAAACTAGCAATAGCTGTTTATGATGCTGCCTCCCCTGGCGCTTGGCACGTGCAACAAGAATTTCCAGCTTCAATTTACACGAAAAATTTAGTTCACGGGAGTCACCAAGTTCTCTGCAATGCTGCTCGTGAGAAAAGAAAAGAATGGTCAAGTTAACTTGATGAGTCATCAAGTCATCAATGATGACCACAAGAAGTAAATGGATTTAATAATGAGATCCCTAGCAACAGTGCAGCTCCGCCAATTTTGAAATGTTCTATAAATCTGAAAAAACACTAGACGCGTTGTTTGCATACGCTTGGTCTGTTGAAGTTGCTCGAAGTGAGCTACGACTAGCCCGCATAATAAAATTAGACGGCGTGGGAGACTTGAGATTATCTTTTAAAACAAGACCAACTTTCCGGGGCATTCAGCGTTGTTAACACTGTTCTAAAGTAGCGAATTACCGCTGCTAAGCAACAATTGGATATTCAAAATCTGTGCCAAACTCTTGTGCATCTTAAGGTGCTCATTAATTGTGGCTCGAACATCAATTCTTAACGACATACTTAGGTATTCTACAGCCCGAGAATTTATTTCAACAAATGCGGACCTTTACGAAAGTGTGCGATATTTTTTATATCGTTGTATAGCTTTTTGTAGCCAATGAGCGCCACAGTAACTCCAAACCTGTAACGCTACATAACACCGAACCCCCGCTCGTGGTTTGAAGCTGGAAGGGCCACAAACCAGCGAAAGCGGTAATTTTGGTTCGGAAATCTGCGTAGTTTACGAGCAAACCAATTTCTTGCACGTTTCATGGTTTGGTTTGTTCAAGGTGTGGGTATCAGTGAGTGGTGGTTGGCTGCAACGTGCAGCGGCCAAGGCGAGGGCTCGTCGCTCCGCCATCCGTCCGGCTGGCGGGGGCTAGCTAACGGGGCCAGGCGGAGGCTGTCCAACTTGGAGATTGATCGGACGGTAGCTTCGTTGAATACGGGAACGGAGACCGTTGATCTACGGTCTCCGCTCAGTTCCGGCTTGGTTCCACATATGGCCGACGCCGCCAAATTAAAAGTGTCGGTACCGATAAAGCAATTGACGAAGGTAAGAACTGGCGCAATGATTGAGCTGGAACAAAACGCTAATGATAGAGCGACTGCTGTTGCTCCAGCGGAAACGAAAGGGCTCGTCCACTGCATCTCTTCGTGCACTTTCTTGGAAGTTTTCAATGACCAGAGTTATTCCTGCCGACAAGATAACCAGAGCACTCCTCACATCACTCAGCTCACAAGGATCCCAGACTCTTATCACGAGTGGTTGGTCTGCCTTTCTCGTCCACAAGCAGAGACAGCGGATTGATTGAGTTCAGCGATCAGCGTGTCGTCTCAGGGAAAATTTGTCACGTTGGCACGCCCTCCATCACGCCCGAAGCAAACGACAACATGAAAGTGGTCCCGGTCGAAGGAGACCCCGCTCCAAGTCCTCCGCTGGACAACGTCGATTGTGTGGACACTGTGATCCGCAGCCTCCGCCAAGAGCCGGCCACGCCCAAGTACAATGACGTGTTCTTCACCGTACTCTTCGTTGGGCAACTGCTAGCAATCTCCGTGATCGCGTTCTGGAAGGGTTTGCCGGCTGTGATAAAGGGGGCTCACGACTACCAGGTCAAGTCAAACAACAACGGAAACGTGGGTGCAGCCGTGGGGATGATCTTGCTTCTCGTGTTTGTTGCCGGGACGCTCACGTTCGTTTGGCTACGTGTGCTAATCGCACACGCCGAATCAATGATTCATGTCGCCATCTGGATGAATGCCGGCTTCATGCTTGTTATCGCACTCGGCATGATCCCCGTCCACTTCACAGCTGTCATATTCTTTCTCATTCTTGCGGCTCTCAACCTAACCGCATTATGTTTGCGTCGGCGAACTTGAAGGCTGCCTGCAAAGCTGTGCAAGAGTATCCTGCTTTGTTTTCCGTGGCAACTGTGCTTCTCGTATTCCAGCTTGTGGGGGTGCTTCTCTGGACCCTTAGTGTTGTCGGCGTGATCCAGTTATTCAAGAGTGCGAGCGAATCAAACGCTTCAGAAGGTAACAAAAATGGCGATGGAGCTTATCTTGTCATCTTCTTCATGCTCATTGGCGCCTATTGGGGACAACAAGTGCTGCAAAATGTCATGCGGTGTACTACGGCCGGTGTTGTCGCGACCTGGTGGTACCAGCCAGAGATCAAAAATGCCACGTCCGCCGCAGCCTACCGTTCAATTACGACTTCTTTCGGATCTATCTGCTTCGGCTCGCTGATTGTCGCGGTTTTCGAGGCTCTCAAAATTGTGCGAAGTCAGTCTGTGTTGAGCCCTCGGATGGAGAACACTATCTAAACTCAATGTTGTATTGGCTCATTGCAGATGTCATCACTGAAGGGCGACAAGAAAGGGAAAGACGGCGGGTTTGCGTTCATTGCGTGCATTGCGCAGTGCATACTCAAAACGCTAGCGAAGTTCATGGATTATGTTAACCAATGGGCTTTTGTCTACATCGGAATCTACGGCAACGATTTCTATACGAGTGGGAAGGCTGTCATAAGCCTTTTCAAGAACCGCGGCTGGACAGCCATCATTAACGACGACCTGGTCAAGGGCGCACTTCGCATTGGTGCGTTTGGAGTGGGTACGTGAGCTGTTTGCAAACTTAGTGATTGATCGCAAGGCATAACTTGGCCCATTCACAGGCATCACTACGTGCTTCATCGGGATTCTGCTCGGGTACCTGTCACCTGCTTCGTGGTTTGAGCCTCTAGGCTCAAGATTCGGTACGAGAACACTCAAGAGCACTGCTGCTTTTGTATTGACTCTGACACGTCGTGAGATGATGGGTATCAGCCATTCTAAGCCTAGCAGGCTTGTTTGCTGGTACAGGAATTACTGTCATCTTTTCCCAAGTGGTGGTTGCGGCACTTCATACCATATTTGTCTGCTTCGCAGAAGTAAGTCACCCATTGCATACGGCAATACAGTGCTGCGAAGTTGCTAACTGCTCTCGTGCTGAAGGACCCCCTTCCCCTCGGCCGCAACCATCCGGCCGAGAACGCGGCGCTGGTAGAAGCCTGGCGCACTTTCTACTATGGCCCGCTCACAATGGCGTACGGATCGGCAGTGTAAGAGGGCAGGGGTTCTCGTGGTGCTGGAAAGTTGCGTTGCGCCATTACCCAAGCAACCATTATCGACCAAGTGGTCCAGGGGTGGAGGAGAAAGAGGAGAAGATAGGTTAATCATCAACCGACCCGAGGTGCATATTTTCGAAGTGACCACTTCCCTGTCAGGTAACTAACTCTACTTTTGTTTATTGTCCTTGATGACACCGTCTCCTTTCCACCCCACCCCCCACACCTCTATCTTCCTTTCCAGAGCCTTCCGCAACACCAACCACTACCGCTCATGCACGATCGGAGCGTCCACATGAATGATACAAAGTCGAAGCGGTGAACTGTGTGATTGGAGCCGGCAAGAATAAACACAATAAACATGTCGAGAAGTAAAAAGGCTGTGTGTCGACTGTAACTATCGATAAGCCCCTCGGTCAACTTTGTCGTCGTCTTTGTCATATCATCATCATCATCCTTCCCTTTAGTATTGGTACATCAAGGGAACTCGTCACCGTAACGCTAGAGTACTTACAACAATCACGGACATTTTGCAATCAAGACCTGCCACCCCTCCACGGAGCTCCACGACCCTCCGATAGCGAGACCTGCTCCACTACCAGTGGCGACAGTAGCCCCTCAACTGACAGCAGCAGCACCGATTCCACTAGCAGTGTTATCTCCTAGCGCAAGAGCTGCGTCGGTTGTGACGAGCTCAGTGAAACCGTTTACGTCTAGGTGTAAAGCGATAGCATCGTTAGGCTTTGTGTAAAGGTATCTCTCTCGTAGCGTTCTTCACCAGGCGTCGCGAATATCTCGACTTGAGTATACTGGAACTGCTGACGCTGGATTCTTTCCCAGCTTCAATCTGCCCGTGTCATTGTGCACGATTGGTTCTTGGAAG